CAAGTTAGTTCCAAAAACTTGTTTGCTTTTAAAACTTCAGATAGGTAATCCAGTGCTTCTTTACAATCTATAAATGATTTGTACCTAACCGTTTATTTCTCAAACAGTTTGGCTTGAAAGATCTTATAATTGCTCACTTTTTTAATTCCTTACTTAATTGGAATTATTTTCAGAATTGATAAATATTTTAATGATTGGCTTATCACGCGTATTGGCCGAGTGCCACTCCCCTAGTTGACTAAATGGGCGTCAAATCTAATATTGTAAAAAGATACTACGTTCACTTTTTTTTTTTGCATTAATTTCTTTAATCAAAGCGTGCGCTTCACGGCCAGATAGTGAACATCATAAACTATTATGACATTCTTGTGGCGCACTAAAGTTCTCCCCCTTATCTTAGACTCGACACGCATGTGCGTATACCAGTACCTGTGCCCCTATTTATATTATAGTATATACACACATATGTATGTACTATATATGTAGGTATACGAGTCTGTATAAGCCTGCACACTATCTCGATGGGTTTTGATTTTTTAAATCAAACAAATTCATAATTTTGTTGTTGCTGTGCGTTGTTTGGTTGCCAAACATTACAGCCTGTCTGTGTCTGTGTCAGTGCCAGTTTGAGTTCCTAATGCTTTGGCCAAACACATAAAAAGAATAAAAAAAAAAGACAGAGCCTGACAAATATTTACAATTACTTTACAGCACACAAAAATTGTTCAACTTGTGCTAAAAAAGAGAAGGAAAGAAAAAAACGACAGCTCTGGCCTTTTGTTTGAGAAGTCATCTGTCATATTTAAGGCATGGAAATGCCCAAAATGCCACACAAATCCAGCCGCGAAAACAAAGGAGCAGCACTGCTGCTGCTGTTGTTGTTGTTGTTGTTATTGTTGTTATTATTGTTGTTGTTGTTTATTGTTTAGTTTTCTATTTGTCTCACATATGCCGACGCGCATTTTATTTTTCCACTATTGTATTTTCTTTATCAGGGCAGCAGCATAACGATATGACAAACATAACAACTAAGCCAGTCGGACGGACAGTCATCCAGACAGACAGACAGACAGTCAGTAAGTCGCTTTCTGGTTGCCACGTGAAATGATAATACACAATAGTAGTAGTAGTAGTAGTAGTTGGCAACATCGGCCAGCAATATGCTATACGCTATATAGAGGGTCACAAATTAGCCGCGGACAAGGAGTGAGCGTGGAATAAAGTCGAGTTAAATAAAAAATCAACAGAGAGGCGGCAGCGTTTGACATGCATATCAAATGTTTACAGGGGAGGACGAGGCGGGCTTAGGTGTTTGCCTAGAAGGTGTGCCGACACAGCCACAAACAAACTAATTAGATGTGTGTGCGCACAAAACTGACTCACTACTTCAAATTATTAGCAAGAGATAAATCGAGTTTGTTAAATACTTTATACAAATATGATTTGTTGTTGTCTGTTTTTCGTTTTCTAGATTTTGCTGAGTCTAAGCGCTAGATATGTACTTGTACTTTCATATGTATATAAAACAATGCTAAGCAGCTCAAGTTTGTTCATAGAAGGGATTTAGGATCCATACTAAAATATATACATATATTTATTTAAATTGGCTCCCCGGCTTTCTTGCGCCCGAATTTAAACCTCCTGATGGTACAAATTATTATAAGAGCTAGATATTTAAAGCTTCAGTTATCTAGGCAGCTTAAGTTTTTTATCACGTCTGTTGTCTGTCTTGCTAGATTTTGCAGACTCTAAGCGCTAGATATATACTGACTTAAGCAATGCTAAGTAGCTCGAGTTTGTTCATAGAAGGATCCATACTAAAATATATATATTCATTCAAACTAGCTCTCTGCCTTTCTTGCGCCTTAATAACAACATCACGTTGTTGCAAATTATAAGAGCTAGTTCTATGAAGCTTCAGTTTTTTATATTTCGATTTTCCTATAACGATCATAGAAGTGTTTTATTTAACATGAAAATTTGTCTGTTTAGCCCATAAAATTTGAGTTTCCTTCTTCATTCCATCGTTAAAAAACAAAATGAAAAGGTTTTACCTCTCTTTTGATTCATTGATCTCGTTCAACTACAATGCGCGTTTTATGGCGGGCGAAACATTTTTGGAATTTTTATTTGAATTTCTTCTAAAGAAACGAAAACGTAGTCGTTGCTTCCTTCCTATTTTCTTTGCGGGCAGCCGTCTCTCTAGCGTAAACATACATACATACATACGAGTGCTGTAGTATGTATGTATGTATGTACATACGAGTATTGTATATGAGCAGATACTCTTAAAAAAATACAAGCGAAATGCATTAATTATTAAGTAAATTGAAACACAGCGCCACGAGATGAGATAAAACAAAGTAGGCGGGAATGGAAACGGGGAATGGGAACGGGGAATGGGAATGGGGGAATAGCCAGACACCGAAATGGGTAGAAGAATAAAAACATTGAGATAAAGTCAACTGTCGAGTCCAGCCCAGTCCAGTCGAGTGCTCTTTCGATTGCTGGGCAAGCATTTGCCTGTGACTGACTGGGCCTGGGCCTGTGCCTGTGCCGAAAAAGGAAAGAGGCAATCGGTAAAGAATGCGTCGCAGTGGCATCGGCTGGGATGGGACGGGATGGGATGGGATGGGATGCAGTGACTGCACGAAAGGCCAGACAAAGGCAAAAGGTGTTAATGGACTCTGTGGCGGTGGCAGCAACAGAGGCGGTGGCAGTGGCGGCGCGGCGGCGCGACACAACCGTAAAGAAAGAAAGAAAGACCGACCGACCGACCGATCTAAGCGTTTGTCTATGAGCCGCTCAAAGAGCGCGCCCCGTGCGGCACACATTTTTCCCATCTGCCACCTTGCTTGTTCCTTTTTTTCCCTCTCCCTCTCCCTGTCTCACCCTCTCCTTCTCTCTGTCTATCTGTTTTGGTCGTCAATGCATTTGAGCCCCGTCTAGAATGCCACTAAACACTTTGGCCATTACCAAGTCTTTTACGCACCATCTCTCGCCTTTCGACACTCGGCGTGTTTTTTCATGGCACATTACGGTCTGACCTCAAACGCACACCAATGGCCAAGCCGATGGGACGACCGTCCCATCCGTCCGACCTGCTGCGGGCGTACTTTTTTCTCTCGTTTTTTGTTTTTGGTTTTTTGTTTCATTTTTTGTTTAGTTACAGTTAACAATATTGTTGTAATTTGTGCGCCATTGGCCTTTGTATTGCTCTTTATCTGAAACATGCAAAGGCGATAGCAACAGCATGACGAGCACGACACCACAGCCTTCTTCTGAGTACGCGTGAGTGTGTGTGCTGGAAAGCAATTAATTTTCTACTCTTGTCTGCTGTTTTCTTTATATACAAGTATATATATATTTTCTTTTTTGCCGGGCCTCACAGCTGATAACCCGCTCGAAAAATTTTGGTAGTGCATGGACAGTTTTTCCACTTTCCCGCTATTCACTGCCTTAGTCTAGTTTGATTTTTTTAAGGAGTGATAAGAATCTATTTTCATGTCGCTGTCTGTCTCACGCGGATCTACTCGTACAATTAAAAATCACAATTACTTCATTTATTGATCACCACCATCAAAAAGAGTACACCATTGATCAGTTCATTTAATCAGTCGGCTATTATTGATTTAATTGGATGAGAGAGTGTGTGTTCCCACTAGTTGTTTAATGGCTGATTGATGATCAATGATTGAACTGCTTTGATAGCCAAAGAAACAAAAAATATGGCGTCAATTAATTTGAAACTAAACATTTATTAATTTCAATAAAAAAATTAAATCTCAAGCTGCATTTTAATATACTTTTTGGGGTAAGGTTTACTAATTGCGTTTATGAATGATTTTTAAACTGTTTCAGGCTATACTCGTATAGAAAATTATTTTATTTATTTATCTTCGCTCAACACACTTTTCCTTCTCAATCTTAATTCTATAATTTAGTGATTATTTAAATGCAAATAAAAGGAAAATTGTAGTATCTAAGGACTGTTGTAACCCATTAAAGATAGTGGGCGAGCCTAATTAATCTTTTTGTGCAGAGATCTCCGCTTAACAAACTTTTCCTTCTCAATCTTAATTCTTTAATATAGTGATTATTTAAATACAAATAAAAGCAAAACTGTTGTACGTCAGGACTGTTATGTAATCTATTAAAGATTGTGGGAGAGTTTAGTTAATCTTTTTGTTCAAAGTTCGCTTGAAACAGAAGCTACCCGTACTTAATGGCAAAACTCTTTCAATTAAGGTCATCATTTGTGTGGCTAAACACAACAGCAACTACAACAACAACAACAAAAACAACACAAACAACAATATTTCAACCTGAATTCGTCGGCGTCTTTTTGAGTAGCTCGACCCTGTGTCCGTTGAGAGCAGTCTTTTGTGATTTAAACAATTTGTATTTTCGCATGTAACAGCAAAGAATTATTTTTATGGCAACACTAAAGTCTTATCTGCACGTCAGAATCAAAATCGGCGGCACAACAATGGAATGAACGTGAACGTAAACGAAAACAAGTCAGCCAGTCAGTCAGCCAGCTAGCCAGCCAGCTGAGTTGAATTTTTTTCCCCCACACTTAAGGCCAAAGCTGGCTGACAAAGTGTGGTAGTTGGGCTCGTTTCAGAGGCTAAAGCTACGGGTAATTTGACGAGCTGGGCCTGTCAAAAAATCTCACAATTAATTGACTCTGGGCTGACTTTCACACTAATAAACAAATTTGATCAACAGCTTCAGCAGCAGAGCAAGACATGAATCTTAATTTGCTGTTATTAGGAAATACCTATCGAGTCACAAATATTCTAAGCGCCCCTGCCCCCTGGAGAGGGCATGCGAGGGGAACATTAAGTTGGAATTTCATAAATTTACCAAAAATTTGTTCAATTATTATTATAATTACTGAGTGGTTCAGTGGCTTAGTGCTCTGTCCCCGACTAGCCATATAGTACTATATAAAGCTTGGGTATTATCATTTCTTTTTTATTTTGGCCATCACATACCTCTAGCTCAGCTTCCAGCTGAATTGTGTGCCCGGCGAGGTTCGGCATTGCGGTCATGTTGTAGCCCAAGCCCTGACAGGCCGATACCGAAATGCGTTGGCATTGTAATCCATTTGTGGCGGTTGCCTGCCCTGCAGCCAATGTGGCCAACACGGCCAGCTGCAGAAAAAGCGCAAGCGCCAGAGCGACGAAGACGCGGCACTCTGACATGAAGCCTCTCTTCAGATGCAACGAGGCGGCTGCATCTCTGGGCTTAGTTTCGTTTTTCTAATTTCTTAAATATGTATATATAGGTATATACACTTATGCCCACTGCTATTCAGTTAGCACAGCACTTAACAAAAACAAAAAACATATCAAATAATTCCGATAATTGCAATTATCTGATTACTGTCCGTTTTACTTATTCCTATTGCTACTACTGTCTCTCTTCACTTGATGTATAGTGGTTTCGGAAATCGCGTATTTCTATTGTCGGTCGACACCACTGCTCTGCGTAGAAATCGCGTCCGATACCGTACTGCCTGTTTGCGTTACCTTTCGGTACTGTTGGCTTGAGAGCGCCGGTCGCTTGGTTTTAGTGCTCGGCGCAACCACCAAACATGTTTGATGCGACGGCAGAACCAGTTTCGAGCGGTGCTGCCAACCAGCGATAGCCAAAAATAGCTAGATATATAAGATATATGCTTCAAATGTAAATAATAAAATATCCAATACGCCTATTCCAATAACATTTTCATATATATGTATAATAATATAAAGACGACCTGTTGGCGATTAACATCACATTTCCAGCATTACATTTAACTACTGATTTAAAGTTAGATATGCTCCTAAAAACTAAATCTAGCTGAGAATTATATGCCATGGCCTGCGGCTATGTTATATGTATGTATGAGTGTATATACATATGTTCATTCATGGTACTATTCTCGAAGTTAACAAGTTAAATTGTTTTTAAAAAAAACTCTGTACTATTATTTTCATATTTGCAAGTTGGGAAGTTTTACAAAGCTTCAAATTATTTTTAGAGCTAATGGGAAATTCGGCTCAGAACCTTTTGAACTGCTAGGGGGATATTATTTCAATGGGTAACTCGCCGGCCTTCGATTTTTTGTGGTTCTTTGAATCAATGTAAGCTTTCAAGACCCGCTATTTGGTATTTATTGTAGATTTGGTTCCTAATAAATAATAAATATTATTAATATTTTATTGGCCTTAAATTCCCCGCAAGTCCCGCAATTTGGCATTTGTCATAGATTTTATTCTTAATCTAAATTATATATTATTCATATTACGGATCAATACAAGCAATAGACAACTTTTGCCTGTCTTGAGTGATAGTAGTAGAGTAGCATACAAATAGTTTTCTAAAGATCGAAAATTCAAAATAGCAAAAATGGAAAGTTTTCCTTATTTTCGTCTCTTATAGTAAAAAGCCAGAGCTGGCTTGAAAATAGCTAAGTTAGCAGCACTTGTTTTGAGACGAACATGTGTGCGGGCGCGTTCATTTGAAGATCGTTCGTTGCCTGGCCCTGGGTCTGACTGTGGCTCTGGGGTTTGAGGTCTGAGGTCTGGAGTTTTGGGCGCTGCATGTGCATAATGAAGCGTGGAAAAAATATGTGGTCAGGCATTGGAAAAGTGCCTAATGAAGACAAATCAATTTTGAGTTTTGCGTATGGGTGTGCGGTCATAGACATACTCGTAATCATAAAATTAATATAGGATTTAGTTTCCGCGATGATCGTCTTCAAAGATATACTATATGTATGTATGTATATGTATATGCTTCAAAGCTTTGAAGTTGAAGTTGGCAATCGTAGCTATTGAGCATACAAATAGACACACAGACAGGCTTTTATTAATCCAATCCAATGCGATACATTTGAACTAAACTGTGCACCGTTAAGTGTCTTTTTACGAGTATACCTATCTGTGCGATGTCGATCGCGTCTGATCTGCCACGATCGTGGAGCATCTCTATCATATAAACTTTGACAGGCACCACAAGAGCAACAACACCAGCAACAACAACAGCAACGACAACATCAAACAAATTTGAAGGGGCACCTTTATCGTTGCTGGCTGGGTGCGGGACAAAGGTGCCCCACCTACTGCCCAGTGCGGAGTGCCTGCAATTGAAGACTGCGACCACAGTCGCTGCTGTTGCTGTTGTTGTTGTTGCTGTTGTTATTGCTGTTGTTGCTGTAGTTGCTGCGGCGGCAATGTCGGCGGCAATCTTTGATGTGCACTTTGATTTCCGGCAGCGAGATAAGATTTTTTTTGCTGACTGAGCTGGTGCTGGGGCTGGTGCCGGTCTTGCTGCTGCCTTTGCGCGTCAGCGACATCGGCACAGGAAAAAAAAACAAAAAAAAAATGCAAGCCCGCAGCAGAAAATCGCAAATCAAAACGAATTGCAGCAAATTTTAGCGAGGCCGAGGCAGCGTGTCAGAAGGAGTTGGGCCTGCCTGCCTGCCTGCCTCCATCTGGCGCTGAAGAGAGCCGAGCCGAGCCGAGCGCTACGAAGCGTAGTGAGATTTTTATCAACGCCTAAAAGGGGGCGTTTCACTTACCGATGGAGTGCGGGGGAATGGTTAGAGGGGTATGGGTATGCCATATTGACTGCACAATTAAATAGAAAACTCAAAGCTAGGGGAGGTTTCGGCAAAACAAAAACAAACAGTCTCATACAATACTTTTATGAATTCAGCAATTGGAGCACAACAACTCGTCTTTACTTCTATACATAGGTAGTAGTAGTAGTAGATCTATAGATCTATACACATACGCTCAATTGCAGAAAAATTAGTGTGTACTTCCGCAGCGCACACTTGAGTGGAGTGATCCGATCCGATCCGATCAGATCCGATTCGAGCTGCTTCCGAAGTAGGAGAGTGCACTGCAATCTTTTTAATTCCCATTATATATAAATCTTGTGTAAGCCTAAAAGGCTGTATGCCCTTGCTCCCTCTCTCTCTCTCTCTCTCTCTCTCTCTCTCTCTCTCTGACACACATACACACTCCCTCTACAACAGCGATGAAAGGAAAAATTCTTTATAGATATTATATTCTATATAAGATATTGTTCTGCTTGGGGTATCTTCGGCATATGGATTGCCTATACTCGTACATAATCGTAAGTGTGTGTGTATTTATGTACGAGTGTGTGTTTAATAGCTAATGTAAGCACTTGCCTTGGCCTCTTTGCCTTGATCTTTTGTGTACACAATATTATTTTCATATTCTTTCTTCTTGAGTGTGTTTCGAGTGGCTTCCTGAAAGTTGTTGCCGAACTACCCGATTTGAAGATCTAAGCAGCGGCTTGTTGTGACTCACTCGTGAGTTTCGATAGGCGATGTTGGGTTAAGCTAAATACATACATACATACCTACATATGTGGACCCTTATGAGAGTAGGTGGGGTGTGGGTATTGGAATTCTCTAGATCGTTAGTGAAATGTGCTCGTGTGTCCGTTGATCAGCAAAGACTGCCTTGAACCGACCACAGTGGACACTGATGTGTCCATTTATTTGCGCTTTTCCAATTGATATTTAGCATGAAACCCTCCCATCAACATTTTCCACACAGTTTATACTTATGGACAAAAAAAAAAGAAAAGAAAAGAAAAGCAGAAGAACAAACTAAATAAAGACCTCGCACATTTTGTTTGTCTTCCCAGGCCAAAGCTAGCGACTATGCTGATTGTATGTTGACAATCTATCTACACATACATAAAAACATACATACAAACATACTATATATACATACAAGTATATATATATGTGTACATGACTATTAAAGTAGTGGATGTGGATGTGGGGCTAGCTATTGAGCGGTTTATTTAACGTTTGTTTGCTCACTGTCTTGTGGTTCTTCTGCTCTAACCTCCTCTCCCCTCCTCTGCTCGCCCCTGCCTGCTGCTGCCCTTGCCTCCTTCAGTTCTTCTGATGTTCCATCAACAAGTTTTCTGGTCGGCTGATTTCAAAAGCGCCTTTTAATCCCTGGTGCTTGTGTTTAGTGCCTACTTTTAAATACGTCTTGAGTACTTTATTCCGTATCGTTGATGTTTTGCCGACGCACATAAAGGCAGATCATTGCGAAATTACCCACATCCATGAGCATTTTCGCTGCTCTCTATTAAGAAACCATCATACAGCAATGCTGAACAACATTAGAATAGAACGCAACGCGGACAGATAGAGAGCTCCATATGGAATTAAAACCAACAAACAAACCAACAAAAATTGCACAAATGAACATTTGCTAATATTGGTAACATTGTTAAAATAAAGGGCTGTATAGCCACCTTTTAAATCTAAAAATAAGTCAATTTTTTCGAATTTAATTCCAATAGTAACGTGCTGAACTGAAGTCCTTTGAAAATAACATAATTTGAAAATCACACATGAAATTTCAAGATAAAACTCATCAATAGTTTGCTATTTAGCCATCCATTTGATAATTTTTTGCATTCATTTTTTTTACTCCGAGCAAATTACAGAATATTCTGTTCATGAAAATTTAAAATAACACCTCTGTTCAACTTTTATTGGATTTTAGAGCAAAAGGGAGGAGATTATAATATAATTGGATAGGCGGAAGACTTACTATACAAGGGCGACATTATTTACCGAAGATGTTTTCATTAATCAAGAACGAATCTTAGAAGTATGGAGGCGATCAGGTACCGCCCTAGTTCTAACCATAAACGATGCCAGCTAGCAATTAATGGCCCTCGCAGTCCCTTCCTGCGAACCAAAGCTTTCCCCCTTTAGGGTAAGTGTTGTAATGAAGCCTATACTCGCATAAATCTTTTCGCATTTAATAATTCTGTTATGTAATTAATACACATTTCTTATTTTTAAATATAACTAAGATATTGAAAAACAAATTTAGCGAAAGACCGATTGGAATCCCATAGTTCTTCAATTTTATTTTGAGATCAATAGGACGGATACAAGTTTCATATTTTAAAGCACAATAGTTTTTTTTGCCTTATTTATTAATATTCTTTATCAATATATTCGTAATAATCAATGGACTAAGTACCAGTCTTTAAGACAAGATGATCATAAAGTTTTCTTGATATTTACTATTATTTTATTGGCTCTAAAAAATGTGTAACGATTTAGAATAAAATTGGAGCCTACAAGTATATATAGTCCACAGCCACACTATGTGCCAGAAACAACAAAGGAGTAACCCCCCCTTCTTATTCAATTTGTAGAAAAGTTATGTTTTATTTGCCTGTCAATTACCTAAAAGTAATACTTACAGCTAAGATTAATTTTATTCATCAAAAGCTGCTTCAGTTGGTGGATCTGAAACGTATATACTTATGCTTTGGAAGATTATTAATTACAATTCAAACTTTATTATTATTTCTATTACTATTGGTTTTACCTGACTTTATATTTTTGCTTTTTAATTGAAATTCATCTTCATCATCCTAAAGTTCTGATCAATGGTGTGTTCAATACTTACATGTCTAGAGTTGAGCTTTGATCTGCATTGACTTGATGGGGAATAGCACTCGATAAAAAGAATGTTACCGATACGGACAAACGCATTGGTGGTTATGTGTCTTTGCTTTCTCTTGGACTTCGATTCTTCAACTTCTCGCACACAACATGACTTAAAATTGCGAATTAAATGAGGTTGTCAATATTTATTTAAGCTAGTCTTAAATGACGCCGACTATGCCATTCACGATGATGATGATGATGACGATAATGATGATGAAGTAGACGATGAGACCGATGTGGCCGGACCACCACCAATGAGCGCATAAATCAACGCTGTGGGCCATTCTTTCAATTTAATGGCCATAAAACATGGCACAGTAGTTGCGCCCAACAACAGAAATTGCATAAACAACAACAACAACAGCAACAGCAACAATAATAATAACAACAATGGCAATACAAGTACCACCCCCAACTAGAGTTGAGTCGTTTGCAATTTAATACGCCAGCCTGACAATGTTAGCAACGTTGTTGAAGCCATACAGTAAAATGCGTTAATTACAATGCGAGAATCGTACAAACGGGTAGCCGACAAAGCTGTAGGCGGTCGCTCATTCACTCACTCGATGGGCATAGCTATGGGTCTGGGTATGGGTCTTGGCCTGGGTTTAGGTTTGGGTCTCCAGTAGGCGGCGGTAACGTGTGAATTACCTTGGCTGTGCCAAAGGAGTAGACGACATTGGCCAGTTGTTGTTGTGGTGGCGGCGTTTAGAATTACACCAGCAGAAGATAGAAAAATGGGGAGATAGTGAGATTGGTTGGGAAGGGAGAAGAGTGTATGTGGCGAGACATTTGGCGGCAGATATTAAAATGCACTTGGTATGCATGCTCATACTTTGTGGAGTCGAGCAAAGTACAAGGTAGAGCAATGGGTCTGCAGTTTGTCGCTCTTTCACTGGGCTTCGATTGAACAGGCACACTTAATACTACAAGTAGCTAAAAAATACTGCAACAGCTTAGAAATAGTTCGCAAATTGTTCTCTTTTTTTTTGAATGCTCATATAGTTTAAAATTTATTGAAAGTTCCACAACATTTTGCCATTTAGTTAGTGAGCTTAGCAGCTTCATTCACGATCCAACTGCGAAGGACAGCAACGTTGGCATAGACGCCAGCAAAGTGTTCTCTAGCACATCCATATCCCCACGAAACCACACCGACCAGCTCTTGGTCGAAAACCAGGGGGCCACCAGAGTCACCTTGGCAGGAATCCTTGCCGGACGCTGCAGCGCAAATCATATCTTCAGTGATCTCCAGCCCTAGAACACTGTATTGTTTCTTGCACACATTGTAGTCCACGATATTAACATAGGCACCCTGCAGTACATCCGGGCTACCGGAGTGCTCCAAAGTGCTCCCCCAGCCACTAACCAGGGATTCGGCACCAACGGCTGGTGATTGCTTGGCCAATTCGATGGACTTCACTTTGTTGCTGCTCTTCAAATCGAGGGGCGAGCTGAGCAGAAGGAGGGCCACGTCGCTGCCGAGTTTCTCATAGTCCTCATGAACCTTAATCTTGGCCACTTGCACTAAAACGCCATCCACGCCGTTGTGTTTGCTGGCACCAGCGCGGATCTTCAAATTCTCAGCTTTTGCTCGGTTAACGCAGTGGGCGGCGGTGATGATGATCCTTTCGCTGTAGATGGAACCACCACAGAAGTGGCTGGGACCCTGGAGAGAGACCTGCCAGGGCGTGTCCTCAATGGAGATGTTCTCGCCGCCAATAATGCCTCGGAAGGGGGCGTTATGGGCGAGCAGTAGAGTCGCTGCCGAGAGCAGAATAAAGCACTTGGCGAACATGTCTCAGCTTTGGGTTTGTAATGCTCTTACTGGGTAAATGCTTTGGTTTATATAGCAAAATGTGTCATGGCGCGATTGGGTTCGTTCTCCACCTTTCATTGACGTTGAATTCTTATCGGTGGGGCCTAATTGGGTGCTTTCTGTAATTGGTACACCACACAATTAAGATCAACCAAATACATGTTTTAAGTTATTGGAAAAAGTTAAAAACTTTTCAAATTGGTCAGCTCATAAACCATCTTTGGTGTGGAGTACGACGCATATTTATCAAATTGGCGTAGCTTAGGAATGAAATCCTTACAAAAAGAAAAGGGAATACTGCACCTTATATATAGGGATACAGTTTAGAAGACAATCCGACATAGGATGGATGGATAAGACTCATCACTAATCACTGGAAATGCCAGCTCATTGGCCATTTACCAAGAACTAGTCCCCGTACTTATAAGCATAGCTAAGTGCCAAAATGATCTACGCATCCGAATGGAACGCATTCACCCTCAGAAGGCGACTGCTAAGTTAAGGCGCCACTTTAAATGCAGCCCACCATGCGGATACACAGTGGGTTAAAATATATTTTTCATACTGTATTTGATATGACTTCAATGGCTTCGAAGCCGTATAGGATGATATTTGAATGAGTTTTTAATATTGCTGGCTGGATCGATCGAGTTCAGTGAAATGTAAGACAATAAAATGTTCTAGATATTATTAAATGTAAATAATAGTTTTATTTAAAACGCTCTTAGATTTAATGAAATGTTAGTAATAGTTTTACTTAAAACGCTCTGAAAGTACATTTTATTATTTTTTAATTTAGTGTTCACAACCGTAAATCCAAATGTTTCGAAAATCAATTTCTCAAATTTTGGTAATCAGGATAAGCTTTTTTTCTAGATTCTGTTAGGTTTTGGTAAATGCAATCTCTGAAAATATATTCGTTTCGCCCCAAAATCCATACACGTTCCAAGAATATGTTAGGCTATAGAAAACGGTTTGAAGTTTTAAGAAAATACTCTTTCATTACACAAAATGTTGCTGATTTTGAAGCATTTTTCCCTAGTTTTCAGGAAAAAGAGTAAGTGTTCTTACAAAGACGCCACGAACATCTTAAAAATGGATCGTACTTCTTAATCCTAAAGTAATACTTTTGATATATCTAAACCACTATGTACATTATTTAAAACAAAATATATCCTTTTAATTTTTGTCTTTGTTCTTTGAATATTAGGGCATTGCTGAAAGTTCCTTTTAGTCCAAAAAACTCTGAAATAGTAATATTTATATTGATTGGTTTTGTGTGAAATCAAAAGTACTCAAGAAACCTTTTTTCAAGTTGATTCTTCGACAGTACCAGACTCTAGTGTTAGGCCTCTTTAATATTAAAAGCTGTTGTAGACACACATTTTGAATGCTCATGTAGGTATTTATTTAATATTGGAAATTCTCTCTTTAAATTATCGGACAATATGGTTTGTGTTTCAGTTCAAATAGGTGAGCTTAGCAGCTTCATTCACGATCCAACTGCGAAGGACAGCAACGTTGGCATAGACGCCAGCAAAGTGTTCTCTAGCACATCCATATCCCCACGAAACCACACCGACCAGCTCTTGGTCGACAACCAGGGGGCCACCAGAGTCACCACGGCAGGAATCCTTGCCGGACGCTGCAGCGCAAATCATATCTTCAGTGATCTCCAGCCCTAGAACACTGTATTGTTTCTTGCACACATTGTAGTCCACGATATTAACATAGGCACCCTGCAGTACATCCGGGCTACCGGAGTGCTCCGAAGTGCTCCCCCAGCCACTAACCAGGGATTCGGCACCAACGGCTGGTGATTGCTTGGCCAATTCGATGGACTTCACTTTGTTGCTGCTCTTTAAATCGAGGGGCGAGCTGAGCAGAAGGAGGGCCACGTCGCTGCCGAGATTCTCATAGTCCTCATGAACCTTAATCTTGGCCACTTGCACTAAAACGCCATCCACGCCGTTGTGTTTGCTGGCACCAGCGCGGATCTTCAAATTCTCAGCTTTTGCTCGGTTAACGCAGTGGGCGGCGGTGATGATGATCCTTTCGCTGTAGATGGAACCACCACAAAAGTGGCTGGGACCCTGGAGAGAGACCTGCCAGGGCGTGTCCTCAATGGAGATGTTCTCGCCGCCAATAATGCCTCGGAAGGGGGCGTTATGGGCGAGCAGCAGAGTCGCTGCAGAGAGAAGAATAAAGCACTTGGCGAACATGTCTCAGCTTTGGGTTTGTAATGCTTTTACTGGGAAAATACTTCGGCTTATATAGTAAAATGTTTTCTTGGATTCCTTCTCAATCCATTATCGGCGTAAAGTTCTTTTGGGTAGTCATTTTGAAATAAAGTTCTTTCTTTAATTGGTGGACTCCATAATTAATAGCATGACGAAAAGTAGACGAGCTAATAAATCTTAAAATTTATTTGCAGCAGTTAAGATATCTTTCAGTTGATAGCGTCATAAGCCAATTAAGGCATACACGTAGGTTTGGTTTAGAAACTACACAAAGCTGTCGACATAGTAACTATATGAACTATATGAAGTAGATTCAACTTGTATACTATAAATGTAACCAAAATTCAATCCCTACCAGGCTGTAGAGTGCACTCTTCGTCGCAAAGTGTTGATTGAAGACATTGTACTTCTTTAAAAGAAATCAAGGATTTGAAAATGTTTTCATAAGCCGTATCCGAAGGATGAAAGGATGTATGTAATAGGCAGAAAAAGGTGTGGTACCTAAATGATAAGACGATTCAACGTGGACATATATATAGCAAACCATAAAAAGCGTTGCTATTTTAACTCTTTATAGGATAACTTTTATATTTATAAAGATACGATTATCTAAAGCAAATCTAGTTCCTAATGATATTGACAAGTTTCATCAAAATCGGTTCAATATAGCTAAAGTGGGATGTTTCTGTTCCGAAAATTAATGGTAAGGTGTTCGCACATAATAAGACATATGTACATATTTGTTGATCTTATTGGAATAAAGTAATTTTGAATGGGTTTCACCACCATATGCTTGCATTAAATCGCTTTCCAGATAATAATTATAATAATTTAATCACAATTTATTTAGAGTCTATTTTAAAAATAAACATAGAAGCGAAAGCTGAATTGCAGCTTTCTTAAGCAAATTTGTTTTCACATCCAAATTTAAAGTTTAAAACAGTTTTAAGTTATATTTTGTATATACTACTAGTCGTAGCAGCTTCGAACCAAACTTGGAGTAATAAGTAGATTGAGTTCAATAAATTGATTTTATTTTTGGAAATAAGCACTTTTATGCGCATAGCCCTTTTGAAAACTTTAAGTTTGTTCACTGCGGTCCACTGTGGCTGTGCAGTGTGAGGCGATTAAGATGTACGTTTCAGCCAAAGTGCAAATATGTGTAGAAAAGCCACAAAGCAGCAGCAGAAACAATAACAACAACAACAACACGGTAAAGTTGATGGTGGCATAAACCGCCGACTGGTTGGTTCAACGATCCAACGATCCAACGATCGCCTCTCCTTGTCCTACGTTACTTTACCTTACGTTGCCTCTAAATGCCAAAGTGCATCAGATATGAAGAGACAGAATATTGAAACAGGCTTTTAATGAAATGAAAACACGGAGCCAGGTCGGGAAGGTGCTGGGGAAGGGGCGGTGGCATAAAGCGAGCGCGAAAAAGAACACAAAGATTCAATTAATTAGTAGATGGAGCCACGAATCTTGCCATATTAACATTGCAATGCAGTTGCAAGCCACCGCCGTGGCTGTTGCCGTTGTTGTTGTTGCTGTTGCTGTTACTGTGGCCGATGCGGTTGGCTGCCTCTTACTTAAGATAACGCACGTGTGCCTTGCCGGCCAGGATGCAGACAAAGAGCTAACCTGGCGTTCATTAAATGATAACAACGGGCAGCAGTTGAAGTGAATGAATTGATAAAAAGACGATCAACAGCCGGACGAGTCGCAGGCACAGACACACACATGCGCGCACACATACAGAGTTGCATAATCGGATACAAAAGGCCGCAAGGCGAATTATTTAAATTCATTTGAACGCATCAATTCCGCACCACAAGATGCCGTCCGATGAGGACTCATCACACCCATCATTAAGGTCTACTCTACTCTGACTATCATTACCAGGAATTTTGCTTATAAATGCAGCTATAAAACAGACGCTGCATGGTTTATTGCTAGCACGTCCGGAGGGCGTGTCTCTTGCGGGTGCCAGCCCTGGCCAAGAGAAAGAAAGATGACGATTCATTCGTCAACAACTCGATGGATGAGTCAACAGAAGCTGTAAGCGAATTATGTTCTAGATTCACGCACTCCTTGACAGCAAGCACAAGAGTGCCTAAATATTGCCTCCCGCTGGCCAATCTGCAGATTTATGGCACAATTTGGTGAAAAACAACTAATATGAGAGCAACAAGAAGGAGCACGAACAAGGCAATTTCCAGGAGAATCGGCAAGCATGTAACGAGTTCCTGAGTAATGCCATAATAATAATACATATTAATAACACTTTTGTATTCTACATGGCCCTGTTTAAATATCCATCCTCCAATAGAATGAAAGAGGGCTTGAGAATTCATTTAAAACGTGTTGTGTTAAATAAACATTTCAATATAGTCAACATTTTAATAGAGAAGATTAAAATTGTGTTAAAATTAAGCCAATTAATTTGATAAAATTAACACAAATTAATTTCGAATATGACAATTGAAAGCGAAATGCTGACAACAATTTTGTAGTTGGTTGAAAAGTTTCGTTTAAGTGTTACCTACTTATTAAATCAGTTCACGGTTTTTGAGAAATAGATATAGTAATACTTATGTTCACGGAGCTCTAGAAATTGTTTATTAATTATTTTAAGATAAATGTTTTTGAGAAACGTCTGAGCAACGAATTGGCATTTCCATTTATATTCTTGGTCAATAATAATAAATATTAAACAAATGGCATGTCAATTAAATTTATTAAATTAAAATTTCTTTTCAATATAATTCAGGGTATGGTTTTTATAGATATACATCCAATTCTCCATCCAGATTTGCAGTCATGCGCACTTAATTCCTGAAATATGTGTGAAATTTATTAACAAATATTGGGGAATTGACTGTAAACAAATACCTATTATTTAATGTCATTCGAAATATTTTGTGCATGATTTATTTATTGTTTTTATTTTATTTATCAGGCCTTTTCGTGTATCTTCAATCACAAGAACTTCCGATTCAATACGCTTTCCTCAATTGGGGGTATAATAAAGCAAGTGCCCTGCTGTAGGCAGTAGTCAGTAGTCAGTGATCGTTGAAATTTGTCGGCTGTCTGGGTGTTTGGCTGTCCAGGTGGCGGGCTGTCTGTAGAAGTGCTGGCTCATAAGTTCTGCTTGTGAACCTGTACGTGGTCGCGGTCGATTGCAACGAATTGCTATTGTGCGTTTCTTCGAAGTACTATTGAGTACAGGGAATCTTTGCAAGGGACGTATGGATGTAGGGGATCCGAACCAGAAGATGCTGACGCTGCAACTGGGGAAGAAGCTGAAAGAAATCGTCCAAGCCGCGCTTCGCATGACTTGCCGTAACGAACTCCAACTGGATGGGGGCTACAATTGTGCTGGCATTTTTTCTGGTGTTTATGCGAAATTATCTTTGTTGTTATTTTGCATTATGAGACTTTAATGCGCAGAGTTCCTGTGCCGCATTTAATTTGCCGCTCTTTGCAAGTATTGAAAGGGGCCGGGGAATGCGATTCTCTTGTATGAGAAGCGTTAATGGGCCAACTAAAATTAAGAATACAGGTTCCGACTTGAAGTTATTTGGCCAGCTATTACACCTCGACTGCTTTGGAAAGTAAATATGTATGTATATACATATGTCCGTATGTATATGTATTTATTTGTATCGGCTGTATGTTTGAAAATACCCGAGTATTTATTAAAGACAAATTCTATTTTCTATACTTCTTATTCCTATATTATATTATCCTTTTGTCTGCTTCTAGTAAATTCCCATTAATCAGAATGATTGGGTACCCCTTATTTAAATTACATTTATATTAATAGTCAGTAAAATATGATTACATTAATATTTTAAGGAGCTGTAACGTGACTGATCGAACATCTATCATAAAGGAAAGATTTGCCCACTGTAACTAATATACATCGTTGTACTTGTAAGGAATAATATTTTATTTTCCCCGATCTGTAATATAATACAGAAATGAAGAGTATTAAAGTATCCGGCTACAAATATTTCATATCAGTACTATATTTTTAGGAATCCTAATAATATACTTTTACTTTATTAATGTGACCCTTTTTCAAAAAATAAATAAATAAAAACAACTAGTAAGCCCTTATAACTTTTAAGGACAGGGCAAAATAACTCTGTATCCGTTCTAAATACATTTAATTCATCAAATCGAAGTTACAGTTGCATTTATAGTTTGCGTTTGTTAATTGTTATTTTAGTTGCAAGTTAATTTCATTTGTGCCTTTATTGCTGCCAGACAATTTTTGCTTGCAAATTTATTTTATAGTTTTTGTCGAAAGAGAGAAACAAATCGTAATTGTGTGTTACCTGATTTTAAATTGCAAGCGCTTTTGGCGCCACAAATAGTGCACAGTCATCGTTTGGTTGCATCGCGATAGCGCTATTGCTGAGCCGCATCGATAACAGTCGCGCAACACAACTCATCGAGCTATCATCGAGCCATCGAACCATTGACTGAGCGAGCGTCCATCGCTAACTAAATTCGGCCAAGAATTCTGAGTGCGCCGAAACGCCAATACATAAGGCTGGAGGTATTGGATAATTAAGTGAAGGCAAGAGGAGTGCGGTAAGTGTTTACAACAGTCCATTGCGCCCGAATTGTGTGCGCACAAAATAAAATAATTGTCAACATAAAATTCCGAAAAACAAGGTGAGGTGTGTGTTTGTGCGAGTCAAATTGCAAGTCCGTCAGGCTCTTTCCATGCATTTCGCTTTATGCATATGTATGTAAAGCAGTTGGAACTGGACAATGCATGTGTCGTCTGCCAGGAGAGGGCGCATTGACCCAACTTTGAAGCTCGGATAGCAGCGGCGCAGACAACAAAGCGCGACTGCCAAACGCGACACATGAACTTAACCTCAAACGTACAAATTGCACGTACGGGCATACCTTGCACAGCCATACACATATGTATATACATACACTGGTATGTGTGCCTGTGTGTGTGTGTGTGTGTGTGCAGGTACGAATGCTGAACGTGCGAATAAACGTATGCTTAAGATTTAACCTCGTTAGCAATCAACCTTGACTCTAGCCGTCTGGCTAACCCACCGACCGATCGACCAATCCATGGGTTGCTCGGTCTGTCAGTGTCTGTCCGATTGAACTATGTCTGGATAAAAACAAAGTAGCAAACGCATTTAGTGTCGACACACACACATAGTCACACAATGGCATTTACACATTAACAATATGCCAAGCACTTGTAAAAAACGCACAAATAGAGCCTTTGCAACATGCCATATCGAAAAGTCATTTTCAAAATTAAGACTAATTCGCGATTCGCTGTGCTCGCGAGGCGGACTGTTTGGTATAATAAGGAAAGCGCAACGAAAGCTGCCAGTGTGGTTGAGCATACTCAGATCCCGGACGCAAAATGCATTGCTAGCGCTTCTGACCAAAACCGTTTCTACAGTCTACTCGATTACAGGACGTGCGCAAAACGAGGCGAAGGAACTTCTTGGCCATTTAAGTGCCATGGTGAAAAAACGGCAGTCGGATGTGCGCGAGAATGGCACTTCGACAGATTCGTGCGAGGAGGAGATGAATAGTGGCGTTCCACCGGCGACAACCACATGCCAACACATCAAGAAGGCGGTGGACACAACGCGACTGCGACGCCAGCTTAAGTCTACAGGTCTACTCTACGAGTGTGTGCAGTGTCAAAAGCTGTGCAAAACTGCTGACAGTGCGGAGCGCGACGACTTCGAATACGACAATACCCTTTGGTTGTGTCTCAAGTGTGGCACACAGCTGTGCGGGCGCTCCCGGAATCAGCACGCATTAAATCATTACATGGTGAGTGAGTGGCACAGCCGACTATTCATTTGATTGATTATATATACCCAATTATATAAATCATTAATGGTTTGCAGACACCGCACTCTGACTCCCATGCCCTGACTATGAACACACGCTCGTTTGAGATCTGGTGCTATGACTGCGATAACGAGGTAAGCGCCAATACACGCAAGCATCTGCTCGAAGTTGTCGAACTGGTGAAGCGCTTGGCCCAAAAACCTCCGACAAATGCTGCAGAATCCTCACAAGCAGCCGGAGCGACATGTCCTTCTACTCAGCTGCCGACAATCAACAACATTGAGTTAAAAATTAAGTCCACACTAGAGCAAATCGGTTCTATGATGCCTATGACGAGTGGGCCATATGATGATAGTGCTGACGGAACACGAAAACCCAGCCTGGGTATACCATTACCGCCGCCTCCGCCGCCAAGTGGCAGAATTACTACCTCTTCTGGAACAGTGCCAGGCATGGCTAAACGAGTTAACTTTATTGCTGCACAGACACAGAGCCCTGAGCTCGATCGGTTGCCACGCGTCCGTGGTCTCACAAATCTGGGCAACACTTGCTTCTTTAATGCAGTAATGCAATGCTTGGCGCAGACTCCTTTTCTGCTTGATGTACTCAAGGAGCTGGCGGAGCCAGGCGAAGAGTGAGTAGAACTGAGCAACGCTAACACAATTGTAACTTTCTAATCACACTTTCTCCTTTGTTGTCGCGCTGTAGGTTCGTGCTGCCTGGTGGCGTCTTTAACTTTAAGGACCAAGGCGACATTGAGCTGCCCATGATCAAGGGCACACTATCCTCGTGGGGCAGCCTCACCTCAGCGTTGGCCAATGCATTGGAAGAGTTGCAATCTGGTGGCGGTGTTTTCACCCCCAGTAAGCTCTTCGACAAGCTGTGCAATAAATGTCCACAATTTACGGGCGGAGATCAGCACGATGCCCACGAACTGTTGCGCCAACTGCTTGAAAGCGTGCGTTCGGAAGATCTGAAGCGCTACCAACGCGTTATTTTACAGAATCTGGGCTATAAGGACCAGGACATAAGCAGCGTCTCAGAAGAGATGAGGCAGAAATGCAAAATATACGGAAACCAGGCCAGCGATCGTATCTTGCGCCCAGAGCAAGTATTTCGCGGCTTTCTCGTGTCCACATTAACATGTCAAGATTGCTACAACGTATCCTCAAGGCACGAGTACTTTTTGGATATGTCTCTGCCGGTAGCTGTCGAGAAACCACAACCACCGCAGCGACGTAAAAATAGTCCAGAAGTCTCGCCCACAACAGCCAACAAGTTAAGCAGCAGCAGCAGCGGCAGCAATGATGCCAACACGACCTTCCCCCAGCCCTCATTCTTCCTACACAAGAACGACCAGGACCAAGCCGGCCTCTCCAAGTCGCAGGTCAAGAAGGAGAAAGAACGTGAACGCAAGGCTAAGCGCGCGCCAAAGCAGCAGCGCTGCAAAACGACGCAAATAGAAACTCTCAAGCTTGTTGCCAACTCCGACGTCAGTGCGACCAGTGTGGAAACTGCATCTGGAGCTGTGTCAGCCGGTGGCGGTGATGGCCAAACGATAACCGAGACCGTATCTACTGACGAGTTTCCTGTATTTAATGCTCGATCGGTGTCTTGGGGTGAAGGTCCTCGCGAAGATACCTTATCGTCCAGTCAGACAACGTCCGAACACTCCGACGCCGATGTCGAGGATAATCTGGTGGAAGATAATGCAGCTACAGGAACCAAACATTCTACAGCTAGCGGTGCAGTAAACGCTTCCAAGTTCTATACCGACAACAATGGAAATACGCAACATGTTAGCGAGAAGCGGGATGATACACCCGAAAATATGGATAAGGACTCACTAGAAGAGGACGAAAACGGTAAGCAGCTTTTTTGTTTTCCAAAGAAGTTTCTTTTATTTTGTTAGCTCTTCCTATTTCTTATTAAACGCTCTTTATGAGGAGCCTAATCAGAAAATTCTTTTAAAAGAGAGCTAATTTCCTCATATTAAACTCATATTGCAGACTCGGGCATTGCAACCAGTCCGGCTCCAACCAACGGCGTCGCTAGTGTGAATAATAACGGGGTCAGCACGAGTGGTAAAATTGTAAACGAGAAGCATAACACACTTATACATGACAATGAAAAGAAGCAGCAGGAGCAAAAGGCCAGCGCCGAGGCAGGCACATCACAGCGGCAACAGGGCGGCGAAGATATTGCTGTTGTGACGGGTCAGTTGGATAAACTGCAGTTGCGCGATCGGGCACAAAGTGCCGGGCGATCGAAGAGGACACGCACCCAAAGCTACTCAGATTGGAGCACAACCATTGCTCCACGCTATCAGTGCGAGGATGGAGAATGCTCTGTACAGTCATGCCTTAACAATTTTACGGCAGTCGAGCTGATGACCGGACAGAATAAAGTCGGATGCGAGAACTGCACACGTCTTGTAAATGGCAGCGATTCGGACGCAAAAACGGTGAACACTAACGCCACGAAGCAATTGCTAATCTCTAGTCCACCGGCAGTGCTTATTCTACACTTGAAGAGATTTCAGCTGGGACCGCGTTGTATATTCCGAAAGCTTACTCGTGCCGTTTCCTATCCCACGTTGCTCGACATAGCCGCCTTTTGTGGCTCTAAGGTTAAAAATTTACCAAACATTAATCGAAACCAAAAGAAACTGCTATACGCGCTTTATGGCGTTGTTGAACACTCGGGCGGCATGTATGGTGGCCATTATACGTCCTATGTGAAGGTGCGGCCTAAGGTCACGCCTGACGACAAGCGCTGGAAATTTTTGCCACATGGCAGCAAAGCCGAGCTCGACCAGGATGATGATCAGCTGAAGAAACTGCAGGAGTTGTTGGTCAAGCAAAAGGCGCGAGAAACTCGCATGAATGCCGTTGACGACAGTGATGATTTCACAAATTCGAGCAGCAACTCCTCGGTGTCCGATGAACCGCCAGCCCGGCGAACCGATGGTACGGCAACAGATGCGTCCACCGAAGGTACTGGAGCTACTGGCACTGAGGACGAGGCATCTAATGTTCAAGCGCCACCGGGCAAATGGTATTACGTCTCCGACTCACGTGTACAGGAGGTCAACGAAGACGTAGCTCTCAAGGCACATGCCTACATACTTTTCTATGAACGCATCTATTAGAAAGGACTCAACCCGTCAAGACATTAAAGAAAAAGTAGTCACGTTTTATGTGTAAACTTTTTCATCAAATTTTAATAAAAATTGCATTTGGATATGTCGCCTATACAGACAACGACACTTGATGACTGAAACAACAAGCAGGCGCTAGAGTGAGATATGCTGTGGGAGCGAAAGAGAGACAGAGAGAGAGAGAAGAGAGTGAGGGAGTGATAGAATGTACGCCACTATTTAAATATATTTTTTATGAAAGAGAACTGTAACAAACAAAACAATAACAAACAGAATAAAATTTGCACACAAGCCAAAATCAGATATAAAAAGATACACTTCTACATAAGTGCTAAAAAGACACCCACAATAGCTGCTATGGAAGGCATTAGTTTGTTTATACACTTACAACTTTGTTAAGTACAGCATACTTGTACAGTACAGAATTGATTAATTATTATTTGCCGCATTGGATGTCATTTCATTTAAAATGGAAAAATTATATTATGTTGTGAACAAGACAAAACTACAATAGATGTTTTAATAAAAAATGCTATGAAGGACATAAAATAATTGAACAATTTGAAATACACGCACCCATGAAACATAACTATTCCAAAATATTTATTTTTTATCATACAGACATAGAAAAAATAAACTTAAGTCGGCGGTTTGTCTGTGGTCCAAAAAAGAAAACGAAAAATATTGTCTGACAAACCAGTAATCCACCAGGCGTGTTTGAAAAGAAAAAATTAAAACCAAAAGAAAGGAGGAAAGAAAAAACGTAAAATCCTATACTTTGTAAAAACTGAAAAAACAACCAATTGCTCGCTTCTGCCAATAAATGTAATTATAAATGCAATAAATTTATTATATAATATACACCTTATATACACATATTTGTATATTTACAAAACTTGATGCAAGCTGCAAAAATAAATAATGATGATAGGTACATACAAGTTTAAAAAATACATACATATATATATATATATATATACGTATACTAAATATTAATTAATAGTTAACGAGATCGCAACGAGATTTAGATTTGCATGTGCACATGCATAATTAATTATACATACATATAAATACATACGAGTACATACATGCATCCACTCTATATACAATACATATGTACATTAAACTATATATGAATTACGAAATAGGTTATGAGAATGAGAATCAGGTTAATTGCAATAAAAAATAAAAACGCATTAGAAATTGAGACAAACATCGAGCCAAGTTGTAAATTCGCTTCGAAGGCACATCATCTCATGCGCACTTGTTACAAATTGTTGATTGAAACTTTGAGTCGAGTCTGGTCGGGGGAGGAAGCGTCGCTCCCCGAGAAGTGTTGGGTGCTCGACTCAATGCGATTCTCAAGGGAAACTTCACACTTAAGAACAATCTTCTTAAATAAGTAACCGAAAGGTGGTCTTGTTTGTATTTATTTTCATTAAGTAATTAATATACATACATATAGTATATGCGTATAGTCTTTAAGTAATACACCGATCACTGTTTAATTCTTTTGTTAATTTATTTCGATTTGTATTATTAGAATGTGTGTGTTTTATTATTAATTTTTTATTTATTTTTTTTTTTTTTTTGATTTATTCAATTATGTTTTTGTAATTCTTTTGGCTGAGACAATTAGTAAAATTTTGTAAAAATAAATGTTAAGGTTAATACTCGTTCGTTCCTATTCAAATTGTAATGCATTGTAATGTCAAGCCGTTTTGCTCCTCTCCGGACAGACAGGTAATTGCGAGTGCTTCGTCTAGTTAATAAAATTCTCATACTGAATGAATTCCGATTCTTGGAAGCTTATCAGCCATGGGTGCACAGGTTCAAGTGCCTGAGCTATAAAAGCAGTCGCAAATCTCTCACTGATCCAAGTTCACCTTCACACTGTATGTTAGTAGTTCCGAAGCATTACTGATCGAGTTGAGATGAGAAAACCGACGCTGTCATTATTTTACTTCGGATTGTGGGCTAGTTCGGTGCTGGTATTGTGGCAGGGCGTGGAGTGCAAAATTTATTTGCGCTGCGAACTGGCCCGCAAACTACGCGATCAGTATAGTTTCGATCGCAGTTTACTCTCCAATTGTAAGTAGGAGCGATACGGGGGAGAGCAACATGCCTTAGTAGAACCCATTCCAGGGATCTGTTTGCTGGAGCATGAGAGCGAACTGGACACCACAAAGGAAACCCGTGAAGAGAACGGCTCCATCAACTATGGCCTTTTTCAGATAAACAGCGCCTACTGTCAGGAGGCAAGGCCGGGCCGCTTCTGCAATGTCGCCTGTGAAAGTAAGTTGGTGGTGGTACAATGTCGCCTGCTGATTATATTTCTCCCCATTTATCCAGAACTGAAGGGTGATAATCTGGCCGAGTCAGTGGAGTGTGCCAAAAAGATACAAGCAGAGCGAGGCTTTCGAAATTGGAAGGGATGGAAGCGCTTCTGCAGTAATCCACAGAACTTGCCCGATCTAAAAGTTGCATGTGGTATTTGAGGCATAAATTCCTTAAGATGGAGCTCGAAACAGTTTTCCTTGATATATCACATATATCACATTAAAAAATGCATTTGGAATAACTATAAAACGCAAAATTATAATCGTAATACCATGATCTGAATATTTTTAAAACGAATACCATTTCGTAGAGCTGCATGTATGATACATATTATGAATAAATCAAAATTTTCATGCAAAAAGATATTGTAAATAATTGGGTGTGTGTGGCAGCTATTGTCGTAATCTATTTAGGTACTACTGGTTCGAATCACCCATTCATGATTGTCACTGTGGAATTGCGATGATTATATTCAAAACTAAATTTTAAGGAGAGTTTGCATACCAATTTTGATCAATGTGGGTAGAGCTCTTTCTGAATTCGAGGCGTTCATCCAGACGAACGGACGCATAAACGGGCGATTCGTCCCGTCGTGCTCATTAAGAATATATACTTAAGAATATATATACTAAAATATATACATATATTTTATGAGGTCTGAAGTGCCTCCATCTACTTTGCAGAAACCTAATGTACCCTTTTTGCCTATTTTCCCTCCCATCTTCCCGCTACAGAATTTCGTCAATATTGTTCACATATCAAAAGCTGCATAATCCAAACTTGTACGCGTAATCTATATACAATCATCTATGTACTTCTGTTTCAAATTTCATCCAAATCGTTCAATTCTAAGAAAAGTTATTAGCGAAACAATTTCACTTCAGCACTACGCCCTCTTCTTTTTGCTTCTCTGATGGGCGCATATAACTCAGTGGCAGAAGTTTTTCTGAATACAGGGTATACCACAGTCGGGCTTGCTCAACTATAGTGTTCTCTCTTATTTTTCAAGAAGCCGATAAAAAAGATAAGAAATTGCACATTTAAAGAGAAGGAATATCGAATATATTTGGAAGATAATTGCGTTAGGGATCGAAACAGTCAGAGGCAGATGAATGGAAAGATAGCCATGGCTCCAGAGATTTGTCTTTCTAAAGAAAATTTTCAGAACAAAGCAATGTGTGTGAAACAGATTTCTCATTCTCTTAAGGCGAAGGCCATACAGAACTTGGAATGGTTAAGCGTATAACATTTTTTTCTGTTAGTGTACAGCTTTATCAATTGAGGAAGCTTTTGTCAGAAGCTTGAGCTTTTTAAAAAAATATTACGCTCTGCGGCGTCGTGGCTTTTGCTCTCATCTCTCTCTCACACTCCCGCTCTCCGGCACGATCCAATGCGTAGTGCTCTCAACCATTCTGGCGCTCTGTCGGATGGGAATGAATTTCATTACTTGACGTAAACCCAAACAAAGCTATTGACGGTCATATTACTGGCAGCGTGTCGCTTAAAAAGATTTCATTTATTCCATTTACTGTTTATTATTCCTTGAACAATGTGCAAGAAATCGCAGTGCCCACCCAATCGTTGTATACTCGTATATACTATAAATATACCTGCACTCTATAAATAATGTGTTTCATTTGAGTGTCAGTTGTGTGTTGCAAATGTGATGTTAAACACATTAAATATTCAAGATAACGAATAAATTTAATATTCCAAAGAATATGACTATTAACGAATGTTATCTTATAGTAAATACATACGTTCCCCTACATGAGTGGTTTCTAAAGAGATATCGATATTGCATGTGCAGATTAAGTTTTTGCAGTTCTAAAAAAGATATATATTTTAAATGTTTTTTTTATATTCTATAAACCTATCTGCCACATACATAGATTGATATGACTCATCAATCAATTTTTTTTTTTTGAATGGCTGTGCTTCCCCCATCTGTTTATCAATAGAAAGCTAATTTTCTGATAAAATGTTGACCGATAAAAATGGCTATGAATCATGAATAAAAATATGTGTGAATTATATTTAATTTAAAAAAATGTACGAAATAGTCAACACAATAAATTCACTCGAATAATGTGGTTATACTATATACATACATACTATACACATGATTTTTCGAGTATACAGTTGGTGCATAATGTGTGCTGTGTTTTCAAATGCCTCTAGATTTGTGGTCCCATAATATGTTTACTTTGGAAAATACTTATCACCGATATGCAATGCTATGAATTATTACTTCCCCTACAAATGTTTATGTCCTTCAAATTCTATTACGAAGCATTCAATGTTTATGCCCAAAGCTTCGTATATAGAAATAAGTATATACTTGTATAAAACCAAATCAACAATATAATTGTGATTTATGAACCATCTAAAGGAAACAAAATATGTTGGTGAATGAATATGTTGCAGATATCAAAAATTGACATCCAACCAAGTGATTTTCCAACATTTTTTTTTGCTTCTCGAGACATTAAATATCAAAACCATATCATACCAAAAGTCTCTTCAATAATATAATAATATTTATACTCTGTGCGCAACATTCCAAAATTACTAAGATACTGTTGCTATTAAAATTAAATTGTTTTTAGTTTTTGAAAAACAAAAGAAGATTCCTTTATTAAACCAAATATTGAGATCCCAAAAATCGTTGGAGTGACGTTACAATCATCATGGGAGAATGCATGATTTAACAAATTTGAAGGTTACCAAAAATTTTAATAATTGGACAGATCTTAAATAAAGATCAAAGAGAGAGGAGGAGAGAGAAAAAAACGTTTTAAAGGAAAGCATCACTAAACTAATATCAAAATCACACGATTTAATTCAAATAGCGTGTCTTTACTGTAACTTTATGTAAAGGGAGAGTTGAAAGGTTTATTTATAAACAGCATGACGAGATATGTCGTCTTCTGTCTGTCCTTATGAACAGCTAAGAACACCAAACTCGGCGAGTATACTATTTATCCTGCAAATCAACTTAAATTGAAGCTCTATATAGCCTAATTATTTTAAATAGAGGCCATAGATCACTTTTAGTGTCAAAACGATGTCGCAAGTAAGCTCAAAGTTTTCAAAATCTCTGCCTATATTCTGGAGACTTGTTGATATAGGAACACTATATCACCATAGATAACTTTTAGTGCCAAAACGATATCACAATTCATTCTGGAAACGTAAACTATATCTGCCATAGGAACGATTGGCGATAGATAGCTGATTTAACTTTTAGGAATCACCTAACAGTAGCTTTCGACTATATAGTAGCTTAAAGTATATTAATGTTGATGATTTTTAAATATATAGATAAATATATATCTGCCATAGGAACGATTGGCGATAGATAGCTGATTTAACTTTTAGGAATCACCTAACAGTAGCTTTCGACTATATAGTAGCTTAAAGTATATTAATGTTGATGATTTTTAATTTTGTAAGTTGTAATTCGTGCACAAATTTTGCCCATTAGTTCTAGCAATTAACTTAACACACATACTCGTATGCATATACAAGTACATATAGTATATATTTTCGTGTTTAGAAATATGACGAAATTGTTTGAAATGGCAATTATTAACTATAGTAGGGGGCAGTCGACCATGCTAAAATTTTTCTTGTCGGCGCCATTCGTTCGTTGTGGTACACGTATACTATATAGTTGGGTATTTCAATCCATTGCGAAATACATACTATGCATATGTTCAGAGCTGGAAAGTACCCTTTCCAAACATATATTATGCGATGTACGAGTATAGTATATTCTCGATTGAAAAAGCCGAACACATTTCTGCCCTAACTTTGCAACTTATCTGGTTTTTGTTTACGTGATGCGTAAAAAAAAAATAAATAATAATAAAAGCTGGAGAGCTATGGTGGGCGACGCCAACAGTGAGGCCGTCGGCGACTATGAGCTGGCGAGGCCTCTCAGTAAACGTTTGCAAACGTTTTGCTGGTAATCGGCGCTACCCGGCAAGTATAAAAGGGGCCGGCTGGCGAGTGTTTTTCCATCAGTTGCTTAAAGCTTCAAGCTTTGTGAGGCCGCGTCGAATGTGAAGAAAGCAAAACAAAACAACAACACAACAACGAGTCAAACGAAAACAAAACGAAGCACTATTATTATTATTTTTTGTAATTTTTTTTTATACAAACCACAAATAACAAAAGAGGTGGAGAAATAATAATGACCGAAAGTAGAAATTTTGATGCGCAAATGCCTGGCGATGAGGCCGTGGTTCTGGACTGTAACATCGACTTTGAAGACGAGTTACCGCAGCCTTCGAAGCCACAGGATGCTCCGAAATCTGGAAAGTTGCTAAAGAAGGCCATCAAGGCGGCCTACAAGGCACAGGAGATGCTGGAGCAAGCCCTAATCCTGGCGGCGGAAGAATCGCATGGTAGGGATAAGAGACATAGGAAGTCCAAGGCGAAGGCAGAGAAAAAACTGAAAAAGCAGCAGAAAAGGCAGCAGAAGAAAGCGAAGAAGAACAAGAAGAAGAATGGAGAACAGGAGCTGCAACAGGAGGAGCAGCAGCAGGAGGAGCGGCCACGCTCGCGTTCTAATAGTGTGAGTTCAACTAGCTCCAGTTCCAGTTCATCGAGCTCATCATCTAGCTCAAGCAGCTCCAGCTCGAGCAATTCTTCTGGCGACGAGATCAACTACCCTTGGGGTGGCTGGGGATATGGCGGCTTGGGACATGGTCGTCGGGGCCGCAGACATCGTCATCACCATGGCAGAGATCGCTCAAGATCTCATAGCCGTGGACATGGCCGCAGGCATCGTCATCACTTTGGACCGCACCACCGTAGAGCTCACCACTTTGGGCCGCATCATTTTGGACCCCATCATTTCGGCCCCCATCATTTTGGACCTCATCATTTCGGACCCCATCACTTCGGCCCCCACCATTTCGGGCCTCATCATTTTGGACCCCAGAATTTTAGCTTTGGACCGTTTGATTGGTCGTCCTTTCGTGGACCAACGTCCGGTCTCCCGCAGTTTTTTCGGAGCGGCGGCCTGCCGTGGGGCCTGGAGACGGACGCGGCACGGTCGAGGAACAGATCGCGGTCTAGATCGCGTTCCGTCTCAAGAAGCAGAAGTCGTGGACCTGGCCGCCGAGGTCACGGACACGGAGACGACCACGGACACAGACACGGACATGGCCACAGAGGTGGCCATCATGAGCATAGAGTGAGTAGCTCTAGAAGCAGCAGTCGTGGAGCTAGCCGCCGAGGCCACGGACACGGACCTGGCCACAGAGGTGGCCATCATGAGCACAGAGTGAGTAGCTCTAGAAGCAGCAGCCGTGGACCTGGCCGCCGAGGCCACGGACATGGACACGGCCCCGGACACGGACCTGGCCACAGAGGTGGTCATCATGAGCATAGAGCGAGCCGCTCTAGAAGCAGCAGTCGTGGACCTGGCCGTCGAGGTCATGGACACGGACCTGGCCACAGAGGTGGCCATCATGAGCATGGAGTGAGTCGCTCTCATTCGCGCACTCGTCCTGAAAAGCAGCATTGCCATCAACAGGGCGCAGAAGCACAGACAGCCTTTGTTGATGTGAACCACCAGCGCTCCCGTTCCCATTCAAGATCGGGTGATAAAACAGACGATGGTCACGGAAAGCGACCAGAGCATGGACATCGGCATAGAAATGGACACAGGCGTGGTCATGGTCATGGTCATGGTCATGGTCATGGTCATGGTGACGGTCATGGTCATGATCATGGACATGGACACGGCCATGAACATGGTTATGGGCATCGACATGGTCATTGGGAAAATACCGGTGGTTGGCCATTTGAACATCGCGGCCTTCATCCTTTTTATGAGAGATGGGCCATGGGTTTCCCTGGATTCGGAATTCCCCCATTCTATTCGGAACCTCGGGGTGGTGAACGATATCACCGCGACTGCAAACGAAGAGGACCACGTTCTTGGTCTCGTTAGATGAACAATGGAGGAGCGAGCTTTATGGAAAATATTCTACACATATATATACAAACATATATCCGCATATTGCACTTCACATATGTCAACTATATATCAATCACTATATACACACATGTATAAAGATATATACTATCCTATAACAATGTATTATTCATAGTTAAAACCCCAAAAAATAAAAATACAATAAAATAAAAATGCGAAAAACACAAATTGTTCATAAAAACTGATAAAATATCTTTGGAATTTTATGGGTGGGTTATATTAGTGCACATAGATTTCTGCAGCGCAACGATGTCACAACAATGACTCTTCAGAGATATAAGTTGTACGAGTAAGTATGTGTATAACAAATTGTTATTGCGTTTTCATTATATATCAGTAGTACGAGTATGCTGATAAGGAAGTTGTCCAATCTATTGTAGCAAAGAGGGTTTTCCAACATTTCATCGACAACGTGTGATTCAAACACACAGCCAAGGGGATTAAGGGCTCTTGTGTCGTACGAGAAATACTCATGTGTAAATCGTACTTTGATATTGTTATCAGCTGTGACCAACCAGTTAGGCTTTAAATTACCCCAAAAGAGCAAATATACGTGAGCAGGCATTAAAGGGGTATTCAAATGTGGAAAAAATAATTTGATATGCACTCATAACTTATAAATAAAACATACGTGTATGTAGATAATGAGAACGATTTTAAATCACAGTTTCCTCTGTGATTGATAAATCGCAACTTTTTGCATCACCATCAACACTCTTCTCCGCCTTGAAATGAGGGGTAATCGAATAAGATTGTTCAAGTCAGCTCGACATGCGAAAGCCACTGCGTCTTTCATACTCACTGGTCTATTAGAAGATTCGAAATAGATTTAATGCATTTCCTGACGGCATTAGAAATTTTAATAATTTAAAAAAGTATTTTAATAAAATGATTTTTTGCAACAGCTCACAATTTGCATCTTCACTTCAATATCCAGCGGCTAAGTGGCGAGTATACTCGTATGTGAGAAGTCCATTACAATCCCACTAGTGGTATCAATTTTATGAAAACAATTCCAATACATAAATTGAATTGTATTTATTGAATTTATAAAAATATCAACTAATTTATAATTGCAATATATTAAAATTAAACAGTGTGTCTATATTTCCTCACCATAGGACTTTTGCGAGACTAATATTAGAATTAAAATTGAAGCACAGTTGCAAGAGTAAAGTAACCTAAAAGTACAATATATGCTAGTTATAACAATAAGAGCCAAAAGCTTTAAAATATACATAAATAAAAATGTAAATTATAAAGTCTTTTGTTAATATTAAAAATATAACATTAAATTAAAAATGTATTTACATAACATTAGATAATATGTATTATGAAGGTAATTTGATAACGATCTAAATATTTATATGACTAGCGAACTAATTTAAAAGTAAACTTAACAACTTAACAAAACTAATAAATAAATGCATTGGAATATTTGCAATGCCCAATGAAATGCTAAAAATGAAATACATTTATTTCATTTATTCCGCAGGGCATTGTTGGTGTCTGTCTGATCGAACATTGTGCGCTTACCTTTGGCTCGAACGTCGCACTTAAGAGCGCAGTTAAGAGCGAAAATACTGGGAATGGCTTGGTGTGTGCGTTTGTATGGGAACAGTTTGGCGTTTGGGAACGGTTGCTTGTCGTAGTCGCCGCCGCCACTAACAACCCCTAATTAGGGCCAGACGGCGGCCAGTGTTAATGGCTCTTGTTATTCCCATGCGAGTTGAAGGCGCGTTTAAAAGCGGGGCGGCGGGCGGGTGCATGCGAGTATGTACATGAGTACATACACATGTACATATGTAGAGGTGAGCACGTACAAACTATACGAGTATGTGTGTATGTGTGCGTGCGTGTGTGTGTGTCTCACACGCCTCATCAATCGGTCTTGGAAAGTATTCCGCAAAATGACCCCTTGAGCTTTATCAATGCCTTTGCAGCTGCAGCAACAACAATGGAGCCATTGACTCCAACAACAATAACAACAACGAGAACAACAACAACAACAGTTGGCACTACAATCGGTCGGTATAGGCGGATGGATATTTGGTGCAAAAAATAAAAAAATAAATAAAAACAAAAATGCCGATGCGTGCGCCGGAAGTTGCGTTGCGAAAATGTGGCGGCATGCCAGCGAATCCTGTAAACAAGTCAATAAAGTACATAACAAGGAAGTTGAGGATTTTGTTTGCCTGCAAATGCGGAACGGCGGGTGGTTTGTTGTTCGCCTTCATGGGTCGCAGCACGGAAACAAAGAAATGTATACGAGAGTACGAGGAGAATGCAAGCAAGCTGGTTAGCCATTTTTGGCACTTTGCAGCCCCGCAGAACTTTCACTGTTTTTTGGATTTGTAACATCAGCACACACACACACACACACACACACACACACACACACACACACACATACACACAAACATCGACACCCACACCCAGAGATTATCAACAGGTGTGCCATATATTTGAATACACTCACGTGATTGTTCGGTAGAAGCTCTTTATATTGGGAGAGAAAGAAACGTACCTTGCTTTTTGGTTTGCCATTTACAGGCATTAACTTGGCTCAAAGCTATATGGACTTACCAGTAATATAAAGCTGCATTAGTCGCTCTGTTGCAGCACGATTTACTTTAAGACGATTTCACCAATTTCCTAAACAATAAAAAACAAAAGCTCGCAAGAAACAAAGCACTGCGAAATGGCATAAATAAAAAGGGCCGGAAGTGAATTTTTGAGCGGAAATAATTTTGCCACATGTTGAAAAATAAAATGAGAAATGCACACACACACACACACTTACGCACACGCCAAGGAACGTCTTCGCCATGTGGGGGGCGCACTAAAACAAAATCACGCTCAGCTAAGGGGAGGGACGGACGACGCGTCGGGACGAAGAGACATTGTGTGTGTTATTTGGGAAGCTGAAAAAAAAGGAAGGGGAGGGCGACAATGGAAATCCATACACATCCCTTGTGCAGACAGAGTCAAATCAAACGGATACACACGTACAAATACATATGTGACTACTCTATATACATATGGGTACCATATACCCTTACATACAGACATACATATGTACATATGTACATATGTATATATGTACATATGTATGTATGTACATATAAGCAGGCCCAAAATATCTTTTGCTCATTTTTCTTTTAATAATCTGAGCAGGTGGCAAAGGTTTTTTTGTTCTTGTACTTATTGTTTTCATATAAAAATTCATTTTCTGGCCGCTGACAAAGGATGCGACCAACACACACACACACACACACACACACACACTCACAAAGGAACACCCTCATACACACAGAATGGTGTTTGTGTGCGAAGATTGGCGGATGTTTTCAACTGTTTTAGCTGTCTTTAATATTTTATGAGCGCTTTGGCCTATAAGGAAATACCCTTCATTTCGTGTCAAAAATACTTTGATTTTCAGCAAGCATTCGCTAAAACTTTACCAATATTCATAAACCTTTAACACTTGGCGAAGTTGAGCTGTTTTTGAAATGAAAATTAGACACACACAAACAGTATTGTCATCGCATAATTGACAAATGGTCGATGTTCCTTTATACAATGCTCACAAAATTATTATAATATAAATCGTAAAAGCGAGAATGGAAATCAATTTATACATTTTTATTTAACTCGCGTTGCTGCGCCACTGAAAACTAATCGTTTTTAGGCTTTCGGATGGCACATCTTTCTCAACACCTCGTCAACCTTTATGGCTTCTGTAAGGTATGAGAAGCGCAAAGGAGACCCTAATTCAACCGTCCAAATTAGTTAATATTTATAAATAGATAAGTAAAGTGGTTTGTTTAACTTAATTTTAACTGTTTTTATCTTTTTCTCATGGTACTGTATAGTCCGAGCAAATAAATTGAATGAAACAATACAACCGGGAATATGCAGTGTTTCCTACTCCCCCCATGAGATTGCCGGCCACTACCGACAGATGGCGCTGTTGCCGAACTATAGCTGATCGTCAAAGAAAGCTTTTTCCGGGCCATTGCTGTTGCCGCAGTGATAAATAAATTAAAGCAATACTGGGACCGCATTTGAATATTTCGGGTTTTTACATAAAGGACATTAATTTCAATATAGAATCAGGTTTGAAAATCAGCAAACCTAAAGCAAAGACAAACAATCTTGTGAACATAAACGAAGGTTTCATTAGAAAATAAAATACTTGATTTTCATATTTTTGAAGACAAATACCGAGTCACGCGTTTTATCAAAATAGAGAGACACACGTGAGGCCACGACGAATGTTGAGGAAAGTACAGTTTATGAAGCTGTGTAGCAGAACATATGAATGTTTATGAGACTGAACTAAAGTAAATAGTATAGCGATACCGAGACAATGTAATTGGATATTAAATGATATTAAAACAACTACTAGAAGCATTTAGTTTGCAAACTTCAACATGTTATGAAATATACGATACTGGTATTATCAAAGTGAAAAGAGATATTGCTGAAGGCCTTAGTACAAATTGGATTAAGTGTCTCTTCCGCCAAAATATTTATATACATTCTATGCATTTAATGCATGGCTAAGCCCAAGTCATGTTGTGATTTGATATTGATTGTGCTGCATTATCTTAGTTTAGTTGATGGGTTTGTGGATTAAGACAAAGTACATAGTAAGCATTCAAGGGCTAATAGATAATTGCTGTCTTAAATATAGTATGTTTTTCTATTCTTTGGCACACACCTTGACTGTTCAAACAAACACACACACGCGCACACAAACATACATACTTGTATGTACATCTATTCAAACCCTTTTCAAACACCGAGTGCACAAGAGCCCCAGGAAGTTTGCACAAACGTGTATGTATGACGTTTTTTCCCTTTCTTGTACAAGTATGTAGTGTGAATAGAAAGATGCAGACGTGTATTGTGCGTGTCATGTTCAATTTTCATGGCTATTGCAATATTTAAAGGTGTGCAGTCCCGGAGATGTTATATTTGTGAATAAGTTACGTGCGAACAAATACAACAGCAGTACAGAGGCCGAACTTAAACAATGGGCCGGGCAGCCATGAAAAGGAAGAGGACCGATAGCAATGCGAATGTGCATCCTATTTGGTATGCAACACTTGTCGGGTAACCTTTTCAGTGCTGTTGAGTGTGCGATAGCAAAACACATACATGCACACACATACACAGTGCGCACGAACACACATACGACATGGAATAAGTGTAGCTAGCAACACCGAAAGTGCAAAGTTGCGTATGCGTAATATTTCGTATGCACTTCGTGGGCGGAAAACTTTGCGTAGGCAAGGCTAAAGTACATTTGTATATATACCTACACACATACATGCACACATGTACTATAGTTGAGTGATTGTGCGTGCTGCTGGGTTGATAGGAAAGAAAATTCTATTTTAATGCCTGTATTTAGCAAGAAAAATGTGTGTGTGATTTACTTTACATATAACAACAAAAGTACGTGGATAGCTAATTTTAAAAAATTATAGTTCTATATATTATTTATTTATAATTGTTTATTATTTATTTCTAATTTATTTATTATTTGTTATTATTTATTAATCATAAATAATAATGAGTCGAATCCTTCAAGCTTGCTGGTCTCACAAGTTTGAAGAATAATAAAAAAAAAGAAACTACAGCTAACTGAGACCATCTTCGAAGGAAAAAAAATGCAAAATAAATTTAATATATATTGTTCGTTACTATAAACTACATTAAACGTACCTTTATTTACTATATTGGGTAATTCCCATTCGCTTTTGAAGCGATCTAGTAAAAAACATGTTTGTAAATTTGAAATCATTTACTCGTACAGGGAAATACAAAAGCTTGAGAACATTTTAAATAAATGGATAAAATACTTACAGTACAAATAAATTGATTTCCTCACCATTAAGAAGGTGAAATTATTAAAATACTTTTGACATATTTGACTTCCACAGCGATCACATAGGTCTTATTCACACTTTGTGAATTTGTTTGTGTTTTGCAATTTTTCTTCGTTCAATTTTTCTTGTCTGGATGGTTTGCAAAATTATTTCAAATTATTTATTTTCTTTATTTTCACTGCTCCTGTAACTGATGAGCGCGCTCAATAAATACAGGATATAGCGTAGAATAGCGTGATTCTGGCATCCATTTCTTGTTTTTCTTTTTTTTTTTGAACATGTAAATAGTCCATTGGTACACCATTCCTGGCCAAAAATTAAATCAAATCCCTATTAAAACATTTCATGCAAATTAAGAAAAATGCAGAGCCAGAGAGACAGACACGGCTGGCGACTGCCTACAGCCGCCAACAAAGTGGCTGGCAACAGTTTCATATTAACATAAATATAACACGGCCATTATGCCCGCGACACACCCACCATACGCAAAACATTTGCATGTGTGTAAAGTTGTTCTATGGCCGTGTTCTGTACAATATGTTATATGAAAATGATTTGAAGTGTAATTTCAACTTAATAAACTTCCATGCTCACACGCAGACATACTGAGGATTTACCCAGCAAACATTTTTGGACATTGCTTTTTTCATTTGCGATACGTTCATTTCTGCAGATAATGCAATTGAAGATGCTCATTAAATTACTATATTTTTAAATGATGGGGAATTTCAATACCTACTCGATCAAATATAATATTCTTTAGATTTTATTTAAAGTTATGTTTACTTCTTTCTGTAAAGAAAGCTAAAATCGTCCTCTAAGTAAGGCTATCCTTAATAATGGGACGTACGTTACATTTAATTTGTATTATGTATGATACATACTATATTTTCAGGAAACTAGTTACAGTTTTTCATTTTGTTGGTCCTCTATTTAAGCCAGGATATCGAATTTTTAATTCAGCTCATAATTTAAAAAACCTTCCGAAAATTCTGAAAAGGAAACACAGAGAAGAGCTTTTGAAATTAGATTTTAAAACTGTCAATAAAATGTTGAGAAACCATCTAACTTTATACATGTATATAGCGTGTCGGAATGCCCTAACTACGTAACAGTAGGACCACCCACTAACCACTAGCAGCTAATAATTAAGCCATGACCAAATAGTGATCGAATCGAATAGCTAAGTGGTGACTAATGATCAATAATCGATAGCAGGCGATAACAGATAAGAATGCATCAATTGGGATTGACGCCAAGTGAAGATTTGAATAAAATGAAAAATAATTAATGTTCTCAATTATATTGAACTTAATTTACTCAACAAACAAGAAATTCAAATTACATTTACATGACAACCAGTCCATGAAGGATAAAGGAAAGTGCAAATAAACAACTGTTTACCGACAATACGTTAAAAATATCCGTTTCATCTTCCAGAAAGCAAGGTGTGTTAGAATCAGAATCAAAATTTGTTCGTTGTTTCGTTCTGGAATATGTTTGCTGGGTATGGAGCTCCGTACTCGTAAGTGTTTGAGCCGCGCTCGCAATGACGAAGAGGACGAGGACGAGGACGAGGACGAGCACCTGTCAGTGCAGCAGGCCCTCATCATTACGCACCAGAGCCGACGACAAGAGGGCGTTTGCAGCCTTTCAGGCGTCCATGGGCCATTTATGCCTTTAAGATTGAGATGCTGGCGACGAGTACGACGACAATGAGGACGGCAGGAAGTAAAGTTGTCAAAAGTGAATTTGCATAAACGTATGAAATTTTAATATTTACGACAAATTTTCAACAGCTTCCCCTTCCTCTTCAAGTTGGTGATGCTTCCAGCGATTTGCGCACGTAATGTACTTGCTCGTATTTTGAAGAAAAGTTTCTGATTTGGCAATGGGTGCGGAGCAGGCTGTACGGCAAATAGATGGACCAGTAAAACATACATAGATAGGTAACGCCACTCAACTGTGTCGCTTTTGGGGGTTCGAAAAACAGTAGCATTGCAAATTGAATTAGAATGGAAATACATTTAGAGAGGGGGGTATTGAAATAGGTGGAAATCTGGTGCACGTGTGTTTCGATAATAAAGGAATAACTTTGAAGTGAGTGAGATTAAGGGTGCGTCTATTTGAATGGTATACAAGTATTTAGTAAATTCTTCTTTATTTCTCATAATAACAGTCTATCGAATTGTAGAAAATGTGCACACCTTGTACAAATTTTTTGTGAAATCTTTAATTTCATATGCAAATTGTACAATCGTCCATAAAGTAATGCCGCAAAGGATGGGCTTTTGCTAGAGACCTGTTCCGATTATTTTTTCGAATCCACGCTCGAGTCGTTTTGATTTCTCATGTTCTACGCTCAAATTAATGCGATTAATGGGTAATAATCAGCAGAAGTCCCCCCAAACTTTCGTTTGCTTGACGAGTATTGAAGGCATTGAGAGATTTTTAAGTCGAAACTATTTTATAAATTCAAGCAAACTTTTGTTTACAGAACACACATCAGTATGCCGATATACAAAATGGATCGGTTACGCAAAACATACGAAGACCCTCCCCGACCCACCCGACCTCCGCCTAAGCCTAAGATTAAAAAGAAGCGTAAAAAAAATGAGAAGTTGAAAAGGCGAATTCTGAGGAAGCTGATACGCATCCTCGTAGGTGTGACGAGAAAGTCGGTGTTCTTTATAAACACCAAGAGCGAAAGAATACGTTATGCGACAATAATCGAGACACGGGCAGCGCTACGTGAGTTTGCCGCATATCTGATCTTTCTCGTTTTGGCTACCATTGGTAAGGCATTAGCATCAGTATTAGTCGAGTAATGGATCTATCTAAGCGCTTCACCCGCAGTCACACAGACGTACGTACATCAAAGCATGTATTATTCAAATGATACGAGTAACCAACTGTTGAGTCTGCGCAAGAAACTGATAAAGCCGAGTGTATTTTTCGAATATAACCGCATAAATAGCATCAATGCCTTCTGGATATTCATGATGACCACATTCTTTGAGATTTTTGAACATAACGACTTCAACCCAAACGACAGAGCCAACATTTATAACTTCACCAACGAGACCACCACATTTTCCAACATCTATGGTGATGTCTTCAATCGCACACTTCTTCATGGCAATATACTACTCGGCGCCCCTCGCCTACGTCAGATTCGGGTGGCGAGAGGTCTCTGTGTTCCCAATGTTGCCCTCGGTAAATATCTGCCCGATTGCTTTGCGCCCTATTCCTGGTTTAACGAGGACAGGTCAGACTATAGAGGGTAGGGGAAGGTTAAGGTGGTTAAATGAACTGTATATAGATCGATATTGTTCTTATTCGTTATAGAATACCCTTTACGAGCCTTACTACGGCATGGACGACACCTATCTGGGATGAAATTGATATTTATTTGGGCGCAGGCTATGTGTTCGACTTTACTTACGATCAGGATGAGAATAGGCGCCTTGCAATGATGCTCAATAAAACGAACTGGTTGGATGCAGGATCTCGCTTAATCCTTCTCGAGTACACGCTCTTTCATGTCAATTCCCGGCTCTTTCAGAGCGTCAAGTAAGTACGATTCTCGATTTTATGATAATACGGGTATATGCTAGTTAGCCTCGTTCAGCGCCGCACATATTGGTCGGTTGAGGAAAACAAAAGATGTGTGCATTTACAGTTTGACGGAGAAGAATGATTGCGAAATTTGATTTAAAAAATATAATAAGTAGAGCTATTTCTTCCCTTTTTAATTGCTTACATAACAATCAGTTTTAATGAAATTTTCAGCATTCCTACGTTTTAAGCATTTTTTGTTTGCATCAGATTTTGTATCCTTAAAACTTTTAAGGATACAGCTTTTTTTTTTAGCTATTACACTGGACACAGGCTATGATATGGAGGTATCTCCAATGCCAGTATTGATTGAACTCCAACAGAAAGCAATTTTGTGAACATAATATCTTAGGAAAGCTCATACCAAGTACATACAAGTATGTCATATCAATCTGAAGAATGAACATCGCAAACAATTTGTGATACGTTTTTATTAACCTTTAATATACTCTCCGATTCAGATTGAAGTTTTGAGCGCTCGTTTAGTTTATTCTTATCAGTATGCGTAGTTATAGAAAAGGTTGAAAAAGAGTTCTTGTGCAAGGATGTTTATAGTTGATTGCAATTTTTTAATAACTGTTTTTTTAATGTTATAGATTTTTGTTGGAGTGCCCACCCACGGGGGGCATATTACCCCAGACTCGGTTTCGTAACTTGCGCTACGATTGCTTCTTCACGGATCCCAGTTGGAAAGTGTTTACAGCTGTAATTTTCTATTATATTTTGGTTGGACTTCGGACCAAAAGTGAAATCATCATATTGAGAGATGTTGGTTTCAAAACGTATCGTAAAAATCTTGTGAATGCCATGGATGGGTCTGTTTGTATTGTAAGTATTTTGATTTCACGTAATATTTATATGATAGTATTTATTATAATATTTCCCCCCTTGGTTATTTCCAGCTGTCCTATGTAATGGTGGTGTACCATGTGCTTCACCTTTTCTATATGAAGAAATTGACGAACGCTGTCAAGAGCACAGATGAATTTATAACCATAGATTGGGGCGTTTTCTGGAACATACAATACGCCAATATCGCGGCTACCGTTGTATTTCTAGCTTGGATGCGACTTTTGCATTTCATTGCCTTCAATCGTACGATGGTGATTTTTGTGAATGTTCTGAAAGCGGTATGTTGGTGGAAAAAAATGTTGTACTATTTAGTTAGTTTTGGCCGACAACTATTCTATTTATAGTGCGCCAACGATCTATTTGGATATTTTTTGATGATCACAGCTGTGTTACTGGCTTATGCGCAATACGGTATGCTGCTTTTTGGGGCCAAACATCGATATTTTCGGAACTATGTCGCCGCATTCATGAACATGATTCGGTGGATACTTTGTGACTTCGATTATCGCCGTCTGGATAATGCCAATTCAGTAATAGCCCCCATCTATTGTGTGTCATACATTCTGTCTGTCTATGTTATATTGTTGCACGTTTTTCTGGCAATTATCAATGCCACTTATGATATGGTGAAGCGTGATTTGAAAACGAAACCGCAAAAATTAGGCGCTGTTTTTAAGATTTGGATGTGGAATATTTTCGATTTCTTTTATTTGATATGTAAGCGCAAGAAACGTCCGCCGAATCCTAGCCGAACCTTTACAAATGAGGATCCATACGAAACCGATCAGCGTATCGATCCACGGGAGGCGGCTAGGGCGGCTATAGCGCGAAAAATTGCGGAGCGGTAAGTAAAAGGAATCCGTAATTCTTTAAAGCTAACTACTTAGTGTCAATATTTTTTTTATAGCAACGAGCCGGGTCTTCCCATGCACATTTATGTGCCGGCACGCATAAGTCGGTGAGTACTGATTGGAGCCTTCGTTGTCAACCTTTCCAATATTATATTCATGGGTCTTTTACAGCGCTGATCTCCAATTGGACCTGTTTTTTGAGTTATTGGGACACTTGACGCATCGATTCAATAAAATGGAAGAGCGCCTAACTGAGAATATTGAAGAACTAAAAATTCAGCGCAAGGAGAGGGTTGACAGTTTAGGTCGCATTCCACGTTAATTTCGAACTCATATATCTAATTTATACGTATAATTGAATACTCGAATTATATTGATTACGATCCATTTGTCAAATCAATTTCGTAAAACGTTTAGGTAACACGAGCCGCAGATTTCATAGTTTTTCTGGAAATCCTATTTCCCAGCCAATATTTTTTCTTCCCTAACTATGTATTATGGTTCAAAAGTTCTTTGTGCTCATACAGACGAACATATGAGCGAATGGACGGACATGTCTATATCAATTCTAATACTTACACTATGACTTCTCTCTGTTACATACAGGCTTTCTTTCACACTTCGGGTAAAGGGTATTAAAAGCATGGCAAAGGCTCATATTAAGACAGCAACGGTGTTACTTCCAACAAATTTTTAGCCTTCGAGCCTAGAGGAAGGGGAAAACAATTTCTTTGTCATGATGAACTTTGAATTTGCTCATTTTTGTTTGTTACAATCCGAGCGCAAGGATATACGAGTATTGTGTTGGCAACTACGTTTACAAAAGTCCAGCTGGATAGCTACAGGAAACGAATTTTCAATTAACAACAAATATTTTGAGTGGCATATTTTTAGCATGCCACATTTACATACAAGTAGATACGAATATGTATCTATGTATGTCTTTTATGCCACCTCGGACTTTCATAATTAATGGCTACATAATTAAAGTTGACAAAGTCCTTGCGAATAATTGCCCAGCACATGCTACGTTTTATTTTTGGGCCAGCTCCCGGCCCTGACAACTGTGCATACCGTGTCCGGCTCTTTTGTGCCAGTATGTTCGTATTAGCAGCAACTTGTGTCCTGGCTCTGTGGAAAGGGATGGACAGCGATAAACATGGCAGAGTTGCCATGGCACCTCCTTTAGCGTTCAATGGACGACGAGCAGGTAACGTCATTAGAAGTTGATTTTAACTATGTATGTACTATATACACACGTATATGTACGGACACGATGCGCCTGTATCTTTTAGAGGTAATCAGGATGCCTCGAGGATGCTCCACTCCGCTCCGCTCCACTCCATTCCACCCCAACCCAACCTAATGTGAGTGCACTTGAAAGCCAATGGACTGGCATCAATCAGGGCCGATGTGTGTGTGTGGGAATTGAGGTGGCGAAGTCATGGTGGTCCATCTAATGGATATTTTCAATTTCATGCTTTCGTATCGCTGAACATATTCTAATTGAAAATTTAATTGAATCGTTTTAGTTACCTGCAAATGCAATTAATGTAATCAATATGAACAAGGGACTCAATCAACTGCAACAAACGCACAGATCTAATCGAGCCCAAGTGCTTTAAAAGGCTGTGCTGCGATTGGCGGAGTCAATGCTTTTAAGACTGACGGAAAAGTCCTTCAGCTGTAAATTTAAAAATAAACAACAATCTGCAATTGGGGAGATTATTGTCCCTTCCCCAAAAACAAACAAAAAAGTTGATGACATCCCATAGCATTTTATTCATTGGCATCTATTTAATCAGCCAATTATGCATAGCTGCTGCATATGGGAATAATCATCAGGGTAATGCTTTTCATTTAGCTCATACGAAATTAATATAATATTTTGCGCATTATAAAGCAATATGTGGTTTCCAGCGGTACAGCGAGCTCCCATGCCTGCCACACCTGTACAGGTACGCCAATGCGTGTGTGCGTTGCTTGCTTTGCTGGTTTGCGAGAAATTTTTAAATTAAACCGCGGAACACATGTTGGGAGCCGGTAGCTAGGTAGGTAGGTAAGTAGAGAGGTAACAAACGGGATTGTGGCCGTGGTAAGGCATACACGAACTCAAGTAAATTGCCATTTAACGTTGGGATTACAGGGAAACGAGCGTGCCAAGTTGTGGGGAAAGCATTGGGGGTTGCGATGATGATGGCAACTGTCAAACGCAATGCAAATTTACAAACGACTACGTTCGCATTTGAGTTACCATACTAGGGTGGGTGGTCTAAGGCGCCATTTTCTGGGGGCGCTAAAATCTCAGTCTTTATAAGCATTTCTACAATACTCTCCGTCCATTTGCACTGCTTTAAATATATGTTTATTATTTTTATACTCGTGTAGCGTACGCGTGATGCCAAAATCCCAATTAACATTATGTCAAAACTGAATGAAGGCAATGAAGGGAATATCGGCATAAATGATATGTTGAATCATAACTTGCGGTAGTATTAAAGTGTCCATTCTCTGGAATCATTCCTATTATAATGATAGTGAGAATCCAAACACAAGACATCAATTTAATGAAAAACTTGTGAATATATTCTTAGACGCCAAATATGATCTTAAAAATGATCCCCATTAAGGCTTTAACGAGGCAAAGGGGCTTGATATAGTTAGGTATAAAATAGAAAAGAAAGAAAAAAATGAAAATATTTTTTTAAGAAAACACGATTATGATGGAAAAAACCCTTCCAAATTATGTCGTTACTTAACACCTGGGTCAGGCACAAAGTTTTGAAACTGGGGGAGGAGTAGAAATTGAAACAGGCAGAGGGGTTAAAAAAAAAAAATAATAGCATCACTTAAGTAAATATTCAGGCTTGCTCTAGTATAAAAGATATAATGTTTATACTTAATATATATACTATGAAGCTGAATTTTTGCTTTTTCAATATACAATTACAAATACAACTCATTTGTATCGTGCTCTTATCCAAGTCACCTGATCAATTTATTTATTATTCAGTTATTCAAGGAAATTACGAAACTTGTACAAAGTCTGTCATGGGGAACATTTTTTGGCCGAACTGGTAAATGAAGTTGAAATCGTATAAAATATCTTAGCCACGATCATTCGACAATTTAGCCTTTTTGGCTTAAAAGATTTTTCTAACTATACGAGTTAACAGTGAATTCGAGCGTTACCCTTCAGGGTTACCCGTTCAGGTCCTCCAGAAAATTTAGCCTCAAGCCGTAGACAATAGGGAGCAAGCCAACTTCACACAATGTTGTGGATACTTTTCCTGACGATGTCATTCCCAGCACCTTGGCCGTCACTCGAGTTGTCAGTTAAACGCTTTACGCACACATATACGAGTATATAGTATGCCTATTTCCGGAGCACGCACCACATGGCAGCACATGCGCTACCGATGGAAAATTTCACGTCGGCCGACTGGCAAAGCGGCAAGACGCGTGTGAATGCAAGTCTAGGCTTCTCTAGTCTTGAATTCTCTGCGCTGGTGTTATGGTTTATGAGATGAGATGATGAAGTCGGTAATAAAATGCCACAATGCTGATGAGTACGAAGAAGGTGCTGCCAAGCTCAGCTCAGTTTAGTGTCCATTAAGTGTTTGAGGGATATTTTAATTTAAGGTTTGTATTTGAAGGAACTACTTGAACAATTTAGTTTTTCAATTGTTTTTTTTTTTTTCAAGCAAACAAATGTTTTCGCGTTAAAGCCCCGTTATGTCCAGTATAAATGTATATCGATAAGTAAATGTAATAGAAGTGGCAGAATTTAGATCTTTGTATTTATCTTCCCAAGTCATAGACTAATTCTTGCCTGCGTGTTTTCTTCGTCTTTAAGGCTCGCGATGTATATTGATAACATTAATAAGAAGAGCTGAGGAACGTGGGGTAGTTGGAGTGTCTCCTCTTTCTCAGCCAGAGCCAGAGTCAGATTCTTCTTCTTCGTCACTCTCTTCATCCTCTACCAGGTCACCGGTGTAATAAAGAACTGCTTTTGGAATCAGCTTACTTCGAATGAAATTTCCAACAACAAAATCTGACATAGCGTCATTTTCGTCAAAATCAATGTGCGACCAGTTGAAAAAGGTAAAAAAAGACTCCCTTGAAATCACTTCGGTTGTACTATGGTCTTTCTTCTTTCTCATGATCTTCCTCACTAAGCCCAGAGAACTCCTCCATTTGATAATGCAACCCTCGGACCTAACCAGCTCAGGTCCCTCGAAAGCGAAGGGATCTTTAGGATGGACTACTGCCCTTAAAAAGCATTTCTTTGTCAAAATGGGATTCGAGAAAAAATCGTTTTTGGCAAAATGAAACTCTAGCAAGAACGAGTAATCATCAAAGTACTGAACGCGTATATCCTGAAGTTTTTCAAGTGCTGGCACATCATGGTCCTGAACTAATTGAGATAGTGTAGATGTGTTGCGGAAGGCCTCTAGCCAGAAGTTCTTTAGGCCTTTCGAAGTTTCTAGCTTCTTCGTGTCTGTTTTAGCTTCTTCTTTCGGTTCTTCTTCATCTGATACACTATTAGTGCTCTGATCATTATCATTTTCAGACTCTACGCCAGGAAAAACTTTCCATTTGGGATCTTCGTTTGGCGGCTCGACATTGCCGTTAACTATTTGGGCACGCAAATCGACTAGTGGCTGGTATTTTTCAAAATACTTTTTTTCCAGCATGTACAAGTCCTTATAGAACTGAGCTTCTATTTTTAAATATTCATACTGTAGATTCTTCAAAGCAACGATTCGGTTTTTTATAGTTGCTGGCAATAGTTTGATCCTTTCTTGAAGGAATAGTCGACGTCTCTCCGCCGGCCATATGCATAATAATTGCTTCATCGAGCTGAAAACGATTTCAATATACTTCTGTATTTGTTAATGGCACTTACTTACAGTTCTTCGGGAATGGGATCCTTGTTGGTATTACCCTCTGGTGAAGCGTCCATATTCCAAAAACTCTCCGCGCGTTGTTATCCAAAAATACAATATTTTGTCCAACTTTGATCAGGAATATGGTGCGTATATCTGCTTTGGCACAAAGACTTACATCAATTACAGCTGTGGTGAGATTTCAAAGAATAGCTAGCAGGAAGAAATCTATTTGTGGTTGTAAAATACTCGCTTAAAAGACACACGTGTAAAATAATTGATGTGGGTGAAGAAAATTTGGCGAATTGAATTTGTAGCAAGACTAAAGAAGTCGCGTTCATAATTCGAATACAGCCAGTAAGAAGAGCTACAACTTACCAAAAGCTCAACACTTTAATATCAATATAGACGTCCGATTCGGTTCGTTGCAACGCCCATGCGTGATATGGATTTCTAAATTTTAAATGTGAATATTTGTTCTTATATCAAAAGTTTTATATACGTACAGTGCCAGACTACTTATGTTGTGAAATACAGCGTGAAACGTTATTGTCACAGACTATTAAGTTTCAGAATCGAAGAGAATATCGAGAGTATTGTATTTGACGTAATCTAGATCTGGAAATATTCGACAGTTTCAATGTTCAAAATATGTAGATAAATAAAAATAATAAGTGATTTATATTTGGGAACTTGATGTGTAAACAAACGAAGCAATGCCAGATACAATAAAAACCATTTGGCCACCTTTTTATTTGTTTATATTAATTCAAAGTCTAATGTGTTTACAGTTTAGCTACAAGTATTTTTCTTTAAAAATTCTGTCAATAGACAGGTCTGTTCATCCGTTCGCCTCCCTGTCCGTCTGGATAAACGCCTTAATTTCGGAAACGGCTGGGGCCACAATTATCAAACATAGTTTGATGGCTCTCCTAATCCCTAGGCACCACAAGCTTATTTAATTTTGTTGATAGCTCCTCTACTTTTTGCTTATGAAGACATATTCATACCATAATCTGATGTTTTATACTATAGCTGTCATAGGAATTATTGGAACAACAAAGCTAATGAAAGAATGTAAAAGAAAAAGTGTTAAGGAAAAAGTGTAAAAGAAAAAGTGTAAAAGAAAGAGGGGGGTACAGGTTTGTAAAGATTTGGCCTGGCATGAGTTCAACGTGTTTAAGTTCTTTTCGGGTGTTGGGTACTTTACTGTCGGCCTTACTGAGAAAAACTCTTGGACAATCTTGTCTAATCACTGTTTCCCAGCAGCAATTTTATATGATGTTTTATCATAATGGACTCACGATACTATAGCTGTCATAGGAATTTTTGGAACAACAAAGCTTATGCAAGAATGTAGGGGGGAAAAGTGGAGTACAGACATGACTTTAACGTGTTAAAGTTGTTTTCGAGCGTTAGGTACTTTACTTACTGTGAAAAACTCTAGGATAATCTTGCTAATAACTGTTTCCCAGTCGCAATTTTATAGCAACATTTTTATGTTGAAGGCTAGTAGTCTAGATCGTCTTTTTTTCTTTTGTCCTGCTGACTGTTGATGAAATGCTGATGAAAATAATGTAAAAATATTTTAGATAAAAAAAAAACAAAACAGTGTATTTTCGAAAGCTGTAGTTGTTTAGAATATGCCTGCCTTTCTGCTCGTTCGTTTGTCTAATTGTCTGTTCGACTGATTCTCTGACACGTGTGTCGTCGTGTCGTGTCAGCGAGATTTGCTGGCTTGTCTTCAAAGCTATAGGGCCACTATGTTTACTCGCGCATTTATTTATTGCAGCCATGGAAGGAGAGTCTTTTGATTTTGGGGTTTCAAACATTCCCTTTGACAAATGGAGAAGCGCGTGCTTTGGCGCGCGCAAATAGCATTGTTATTGTTATTATTGCGTAGGCTGAGTCAATATACAACCACATGGAAGCCCCGCCAACTGGTAACAGTAAAAAGACAGTAACGATGGACCCAAATATATCTCTCGTGACGTTGGCAACATATTCGGCATTTCGTTGGCTTTACCCCCAACCCATTGCCATCCAGTCATGAGCTCAACAATTCTGATGACACACAAACACGATTACATACTACAATACATTAGTACGCATGTGTATGTATATACTTGTATGTATGTATGTATGTACATACTGGTATACGCTGATAGCTTTATTGAGGTCCTCAATGGGGTGTGAGTGTATGTGTGTTTTGCAAATCGAATTGAACTTATTTTCTGCAAATTCTATTACATGTTTCCCATTTCGGCACTTTCAAAAGTTTTCCCATGCATATTTAATATGCATTCGAATGCTCAAAGATTTATGCATACTACGCGATTTTGCAGTAATCGCTTAACCCCATTGGAAAAATGTACAAATGAAAATTTGAGTAGCATCTAAAGGGTCCGCGTCTGCTTTTTACGAAAAATAAATCAAATAAAATAAACACGGCTTATGTGTTGCCTTCATTAAATATATGAAGCAACTAGGAGGGGTACACATTTTTATGAAAACATAGGTTGTAGCTGTACTAAAATATTATCTAAACACCATGTTGACGCTTTAAATAGTTCTCTAAAGGACCTTTGAAACGCACAATTCTAACAAGTCTAGCCAATCGCATATAAATATTTAGGAGAACTTGAATGTAGAGGGCAACAAAGAAGAAATAGAAACTTAGAAACCCTTTGTTTGTTCTGAAGACGAATCTTTAAATATGTACTACATATAAGTAACTGAACCACAATGGTAGTTAATTTTTGGAGAAAATACGTTTGCAATAGTTTTGTATAAAAGCGAAAGGAATACAAAATATTTTAAGGTATGGAACAGTTCGAGAAAACGAAAAAGACTTTTTGAAAATTAATAAATTGGTTACAAAATAACGTATCTGAGTGTTCCAAATATTTACAAAATTTTTAAATTATTTGATTTATGATAATAAATATTATAATAGAGATATAATAAATATATAAAAATGTATATATTTTTTCTATTAAAATGTAACAGCATTTATGCGATTTAATTAAAATTTTTTGAAAATTATCAATTTACAATACACACATTTCGAAATGGAGATCATAGAGTTATATACTTTTTTCATTTCCTATATATCAACCTCAAAACATTTGTTAATGCGAACATGTGTTAATAGGATTTTAGGTATAATACTTGTAGTTTGGGTATGGAGTAGTAGAGGAATGGATTAAAAAACTCATATATGTATGTAAGTAGGCAGCCAGAGAAGCCAACAATTTGCCAAATAATTTATAAAGCTATAGCATGGCAAGATATGATATTAATGCTACTACCTTCAAAAGCAACAGCAAAAAGAATGTTTTATTTTTGCGAACGCTTCTTCGAGATTTACTTTTTCGTAGCTTAGTTTGTGTGCAAATTATCTGCCTGTCTGACCAAAGATTAGACATATATCGAATGAGATAATACAATCGGCATGTATAATGGGGTTAATGCCGCCAGTGCCTGCGGCTTGTCCAAAAAACCAACGTCAGCTTTTCATATGATTTACTTAGCCTTTTGCTTGCCAGCAACTTGATTAGACAGCGTCACGTACTCTATTCTCTGTTTGCGTGAGGCTATGAATGTGTGTGCGTGTGCTTGTGTTCAGCTTAGTGCTTAAATCATTAGACATATAACTGCAAAGTCAACCACATGTGACTTACACAGTAATTAAGAGCAGGATATTTCTAGAGGATATGTCACGAGGTGTAAGCAGACGACGCGCCATTCACCCCAAAACCAACCGAACCCAACCCAATACGGCTCCTAAGCACAACCCAACTCAACTGTCAGAAGGCATCGCACCTCGGAGCAACGCACGCACATGCACACGCACACACACACACACACACACACACACGCACATACATTCTTATACACACACACACGTGCAGGCACGTAACGCTATTCAGCTATAAATAGACGCAGGATTGCAGCGAAGGAACTTTCAAGAAACGGCAATAAAGCGAGCAGCGCTTTAAGCGCATACGTAGATGACCTCCCCCTCCAGGCTTCCAGGCATCCACCTATCGTATCTACATAATTGCCATTACCTATTTCTGGCAATAAGGAAACTAAATACGTACGAGTTTCGTAGACACCTTCAAATACGGAAAAACTTTTGTGAATGGATGCTGCCCTCATCACACGTGAAAGGCATAATCAGGAAAGCAGGAAACGCAAAGCGGAAAAAACTGAAAGCTGGGCAGTGTGATGAGACCACAACAAACTTCAGTGCTCCTTAGTATAAATCAGGACATTCTACTTCATCTGCCTTTGCTGGAAATGTAAAATCTCAGATACTTGTATACTTATTGCTTAAGTCAAACCAAACCTTGTGTTCCATTAAAGAAGTTTAAATGTTTCAGAAGCTCCTTGAATGCAAAGAAAAAGAATGGCTGTGGAACTGCTACCTTTTTGTTGGTATCAAGTCTACCAACATAGTTAATTAACTGCTTAAGCACTAACTAAAATAAAGCAATTATTATTAAATGTAATTACACATTAAATGCTAACTTACAGCTTTTGCGTCTTACAACCAAAACTAACTAAAACATTTAACATAAAATATTTAATTATGTAGCCCCTAATACTTGGATAGTAAAGAGTAATCATATAAGTAATTATTAAAGTAATATAATTTTTTATGTAATAGGGTTGTCTTCCAGAGTAAAGCAGCTTTAATAGTAGGGACCTAATTTTGTGGCATAAGTAACTCAGTTTTGAGAACTTTAAGATTATTTCAATGTTCTAGGCGGTTGGTTGTGATGTAAGGAGTGAGGAATCTATATAACCAAAGACTTGTTTTCTAAAATCTTGCAGACTTGAACAATTTTTAAGTCAATGCTCGACTGATTTTCGAATTGGTAGGCAGTTGTTAGTTTTAGGTCAATATGTTTTTGTTTTCTTATCATTTCTTGTTAAATCCATATAAATTTAGTGTTTTTTGTGAATATTGCAAATAAAATAATTGCTCAGAAGTGCTATGGCTGGCTTTAAATAAATTTAACACAAATGGAGCCACAATTTTTTCTTCACTTCTAACTATACTTTAACGGCAGGCTTGGGCAATTTCTGGCCTTATATAAAAGCTCAGCAAAAATTTATCACATGATGCTACAACAATTCACGCTTGCGATGGGGTCTACAAGTTGCATTTACACTTCGTTTAAGGAAACTCATTGCATTTGACCAGACTGGTGCTAAATAGTTCAAAGATAATACCAAAATACCAAGCCCTTAGCCTTTATCTGCAATAATACATAAAAGGAAATTAGTTTCTGGTTAATTTAGCAGCACATTATATGCACAAACATATGCATAGGAGTATCTGGTATCTAAGTACGTTCGAAAACACACACTCATTGATGCAATCAGAACATGCACACACACACACACATAGTAAGAGTCATTGAAGCCAAGTGGATGAAGTGAAATAAAGTGGGTTTCTAATTGTTGTATGTTCAGTGATAAGACGACCCCACGAACTTTCA